GCGGTTAATGAAGTGAGTTGACTTCGCTTTCTCTTTCTATCACGGGTCCTCTGCTCTTCGTTCTCGCTTTCGGGCGGGAATCAGGACTGGAACCTGGCAATGTGTATCGATGGCTCTTTACGTTTTGGTGCACTTCCTGAAGCGTGCCATTAGCTACCGAGAACGCACGGAATTCATGTCTCCGCCACGGCAATTATTGCCCGCCCGTTAAAGCCTGGCGTAGCTACTTTGGCAAGCGGGTCGGTTGAGCGTTTGGTATAGGCGGAAATTGCCCGTCTACCATCCTGCGCCCGATGCAAAATCTTTCCCCTCTGATTATTGAGGGCTTGTTCTGAATTGCGGCACATGCAGCTCTGAGCATTTGGCTAACCGTGCTTACTCATAGGGAAGCACGACACCCTAACGTCGTTCTGTACCTCGGTCTCTCTCAAGCGCCCGATGGCCGCATCTTCATCATTTCGGAGTTCATTGACAACGGTAATCTGCGACTCTACATCCACGACAAGACCAAGCCGTTTCCCTGGCGGCTACGGATATCCTTCGCAACTGACATAGCACGCGCATTGGCCTATCTCCACGCGCGAAAGTGCATCCATCGGGACCTCAAGGGCGAGAACTTATTGGTGACCGCAAATGGTCGTCTCAAGATCACGGACTTCGGCTTTGCGCGTATCGCTGCTCGCAACGCAGAAGAATCGAAGCGACTCACGTTCTGTGGCACAGACTCGTACATGTCGCCGGAGATCCTAACTGGCACGGAGTTCGACTTGCCGACGGACATTTTCTCCCTGGGCGTCATCTTTTGCGAGATTGCTGCGCGACGTCTGGCAGACGACAACACGTTCCGACGGACGCCACCGCTTTTCGAGATCGACCCGGACGAATTGCGCCACTTAGCTAGCCCGGGCTGTCCGCCTGCGTTTCTTCAGCTCGCGCTTGACTGTCTTGCACAGGACCCAGCGCTGCGCCCGAACACACGCATGATTATGGATAAGCTGCGGGAGATCGAGGCTGAGGTGCTTTCGCGCCCGTCCGAGGCGGACGACATGCATCTCGGAACTGTCAAATTCATGACAGGTGGCCAGCGGCGAGCCGGCGCTGCACCTCGGATACCGAGCTTTGGGATGGGCGTCGGAAAAGACATACGCTCGTCATCGACATTAGAGGTGCACTCAAGCGACGAGAGCGCGGATAGTGACGAAGAGTATGCGCAGACCATCGAGACGTTGAGTCATGTCGATTTGAACAGCGTGTGGGGTGATACAGTGGCAGGTACGTCTCGCGTCAATGTATTCGCATGTAGCCACTGACCCTCGTATAGGTAGAGGCGATAGCGGACAACCATTGCTCGATGGTACATCCAGTACCCATTCAGACTACAGTACCACGGTCATCAAATCCCATGCGCCAAGCACCGAGTCCTCCGCTCCTTCTCTATCATCTATCATGACTATCCGCCCACCGACCACGGCGGATCCTGCGCCCATAGGAGCGGAAGCGCCTACTCCGGCCGAGTCGCTGTTGTCCATCGAGTCCTACTACACAGCGTCGTCGTCCTCGATCTCTGCTGCCGTCGCCACGGAGGGCGGCTCTACAATTCGCAGTTCCAGTCTACCTCTTGTTCACCGTTTCTCGCTCTTGAAACCTGGCGCGAAGCGTACAGGCGCGGCAGAGGCGCGGAGCAGAAGTGGGTCGCCGACGCCGGCGGATGCGCTCTGGAGTAGGAACCCGCTCGAGTTCATCTTTTCGAGTACTCTGTTGGCCGCGAAGTGCGACATCTGTGGTAAGAGACTGGGATGGAAGCCCGTCCTCGAGTGTGACGACTGCGGTCTGCGGTGCGTAATTTGTAACAGATGTACAACTGCCCTGGGCTGATCATGGATTTGTTACGGTGCAGTGCTCACGTCAAGTGCGGGGAGAATGCGCCGATGGACTGTGGGATTCGTCCCCCTCATCTAGGCGCACACAACAACGGAGCACCCTCTACCCCGCCGTCGCCCGCGGGCAAGCCCAAGACTAACGGCAAGACTTCTTCCCCGAAGTGATTCGCCTCCGCGTAGACGCTATATGGTACGATACCACGACCCTTATGACCTTTCACGACTGCATCGCGGCTGTTCACTACTACCACGCCATTCATCACACGGCACGGACAGCAAATATCCCTTTGATACTGCATTTGCACCACTGCATCTTCTTGTAACGAGTAGTGATGGACCTCGCAAGTAAGTTAAGTCGTTACTTCGGAATACGCTCGTGGTCCTATGATACGGTCAATTCTCGGTCAGCATGTAGCTAAAGATCGTTAATATTTTGGAATCGGAACGCATGATCCAGGACGTTGGGTGCGAACTACAATGCATGCCGCATATCATATAATGTATGAAGCCTACGAAGTGAATATTATGGTTCCATCGCAGCGAGTTGCCTATGTCTTTGACGAGGAAGGCTTGGATACTTTTCGGCGCATACCCCGACCTCCAGTTCGCGCAGGCCTGGGAGGGATTTTTGACGCCTTGGGCCGTTCCCGTTTTGTCTTCATTGTCGACAGAGGCGTCGCTCCCTCTGTGCCTAGAAAATCTTCCTCGTGCAATTGCACGTAATTCAAGTATCCCAGTGGACTGTATGACGTGAGTGTGTAAAAGGCGCCATAATGCAGACAGGACTCACGCCTCTGCTCCAATCGTACAGCCCGCTACGTTATGAGACGGCTCCGCCTGCAGATCGAACACCGGGCTTTGCGACCAAGTTGGCGAACTGGCCTTGTCAATGGAGGTTGATATGTAGACGATGGTTGGCGGAGTAGGGGGCTGCCCGAAGTGGTGACCGACGTGTGGATGGTGTGCAAATCCCCCGGCGTGACCGAACCCACGCGACATGTGAGAGTGTTGTCCGAAGCCATGTTGAGGGAATGCTGAAGACGAATTGTTATGCATAAATGGCTTGAAAGGGCCTTTCAGTCTGAAGCGAAGATCTACGCCTACGCGGGTGACTGATAGTAGAAATCAGTCAGTGGATGACTTAAATGATGATAGAAGGCCGCCTTACTGAGCATCAGGTCATCCGGATCGACTCCGTGTGTCTTGGCAAAATACCGGCCATAGTCCAAGACGTACTGTCCAGCAGGACCGATAGGATTCACTTGCTCTTCATGCACAGCCGTGACAGTGTAATTAGCGTTCGGCTCTACGACGACTGCCCATCTATCAGGGAGAACGAATGAAGAGGCAGAAGACTAGACTTCGAATAGATGACTTACCCTTGCCGGTTTCCGGGACATGGGAATGCGTCCAGTGGAACGTGTACGAGTGGGCCGCGACGCCATTCTAACTGCGTACCATACTGTGACTGAACAATAGAGAAAGAGGTGTGGCCCTCTTGAATGACGTTGCAAATCAATTTGAAAGATGCAAAGTCTCCCTTTCTCTCGAGGTACCCTAGGTCGCCCACCGAGTATGTGTAGGCGGGGACGAGCTTTTCCCTCCAGACAGGAGGGTTGGTACGAAGCTCCCGCGCAACGCCTTTCAGCTTCCGGAGGTGCAGTGACGCAGCCATCGACTCTGCATCGTTCTCGTCTGTTTGTAGTAACTCTTGTAGCTCCGAAATTCGTGGGGCGGAACGCGAACTCGGTAGAATGACGTTCAAAGCGTGCGTGAGATGACTGATTTTGCGCTGCATTTCTAGATTGGTAGCTATGTCGCCAGATAGGTCAGTGACTGACTGCCGAAGAGAACGACTAGTATCGAGCGTACTCGTGATCTCAGACATCTCGTAAGGCTTCTCGGGCACCATCCCACGGCTCGGGAGCAGCTACAAGCGTCGGATAAGCTTCTCCACAGTATCCAGGAGGTAAGACGTACATCTAAGTATACCCGTCTGACCGAATGGGACAGATCGTAGTTTCGCGCCGACACCCAGCGATCCACTTCAGGTGGAGGTAAGCCCATGACGAGGGTCTGTGGACCGTCTATACGATAGCTCGCGTTCTACGTGCCAATCATGCTATGAGAACCAGTTGTCCACGCCTGTATGGTGCCCGTGCTTACCTCAACGTAGTCTTGGATCTTGGAGTCGGACAGATGTAGCTGTTGTTGCAGATATAAGGCTGCATCCTTGCATGTTACAGCTGCGTCAGGAACCGTCGCCATAAACCTTGTTTAGTATGCGACGGACCATGTGGTCAAGATACTGAACGTGAGACGCAATTAAATAGGGAATTGTTGTATCACCTTACTGACAGTACTCACAAAACGACTGATGAGCAGGACGCAGTCGGCGAGCGTTCCATGCTGAAGTTTGTCCAAGACCAATGCTTGTGGAAGCCTTGTCTGAACTGTACAGTGCTCTGAGCTGTGCATTCCATAATAGATCATCCGAGCGCGCTCACCATTCGCAAGCAGAATGAAAGGTGTCGGACATTCCTCGCCCGAGAACCCAACCATCTGTGGGAGATTCGGGTGGCTATCGGTACACACCGTCAGCGCTACTGCATTGGAGGAATCAATGGACAACTTGGGACTTACAAGACATTCTGAAGAATCCTCACGTCGCGTATCCATTTCTGACCAAAGGATCAGCACACACGTTTCAGCCGCGAAGGGGAAGGTGCGATCACCTTTGAAGCGGCATATCTTGGTTCATCATAACTTTTAACAAGGAGCGCACGTCCTTCGACATCAGCGTGCCGTGTCCCGGTCCACCAGCCCTCTTTGATGCAAGAGCTGCCCTTGATGGTAAGGTCAGAGCGGTCATAGCGGTGGAACTGCGAGCGATAGTCAGTACGAAGCAACATCAAATCCAAGTCCGGATAGAACGTACTCCATGATCCTCGAGTTCTCGAAGTTCTTCCTCAAGATGATTGAACTCGCCACTCGCACAGGATGAGACTGCATCCACCGGCGGCTCATAGATCAGAGTCAACTCGTCAGAAGCCTGCCTTGAGGATGGACTAGAGTGGTCGAATTCCTACGTCATGTCAGGAAGCACCGTATATGTCGTCCTGTGTAATCTCCTCACATAATGCGACAGCGCTGGTGATGGGCAAATCACCTCAGTGTCAGAGACATTTGAGATAGTCTGTGCTTCGCCGCCCATGGATGGGAAGTTCGAATCTTGTCGCCCGGCGTTGACCTGATGAGAAGCGCCTGCAACCAGTCTGTCACCTATCGCATAGTGAATGTTGATCAATGTAGCAATCTACCGGGACATTGAACAATGATAAGCCAGATGCATCATTACTCAACACTACGAACTACCTGGAACGCGTTGAAGGTGTCATCGAGTTCTGCATTGAGAGCTGCCAAAGCAGCTTCCACGCTCCCTTTGCGGACCAAACGCGTCCGCCAGTTGCTCTCAGCTTGACTCATGAGAAAGGAATGAATGGATTCCAGTGCCCTAGGCAGAGCGCGGTCTCATTAATCGTGTAAAAATTCACGCGAGGGGTACGTACTGGGAAAATTTTCGCAACGCATCCACAAGGGACAGAGGCACATCTCTGTTGCGATCCAGTACTTGGTCCCTGATGAGATCCAGGAACGACAGGCATCGTAACGCAAGGTCGTAGCATTGCTCCTGATTCGCCTTAATATCCTGTATTCCACGATAAAACTGTGTAAGTATAATACTCTATGAGCAGACTAATGAAGACGCACCTGAATGACTTGGAATATCTTCAAGAGAATGGCCGCAGGGACAGCTACCGGAGGAAAAGCTGCGATGCCTGCCAGATTCGTCGCAGCAGCTGTTGTCGCGATCGCGATGGTGACGGCATTATCAGTGGTCACTTTCCGGCGAATGTATCTAAGGGGCATGGAGGAGAGTCGGATGGTGATACCGAATCAGAGGTTCCTTATGAGCTGGAGCCACGGTGGGCAAGGCTTGACTGAAGGGTTCAGATCGTTCAAACCCTTACTGCACGAATGCCAGTAAAGACGTGATAGACAAGCGTAATTGATCCTTCGTCCCGAGAATCATTGTGTAAGGCTGTACGAATTGGCAGTTCGTTCCTGACTGACTTGGAATCGACCCGAGCAGTGAAAAGCGCCCAGTCTCCGGCGGCGGGCGTTTGGACCATCCAAACGCGATCACGTGGCATATGGACCCCAGTCGTGCGACGCGCGTCGCGCGCCGAGCTTGAGTGAGCTTTGAGGCCCAATGAAAAACGCATCTGCTGGGAGATGCGCTGAGCTGCTCGGAGCTGCGCGCGTCGTCGAAAACTGCCCGAATCTGCTCCGAGCTGCTGACGGCTTACAGCAAAGTCACCAAATGACAGCTTCTTAGCGAGTTAACTCATCGTCGTTAGAGCTTAGAGCTTAATGTCTTTTGCCTCTGAGCTGGGGCTGTAGCCTATCAATATGCAGTCGAGTCTGCCGTGGACGTCCCCTTGCGTTAAGTACTTACGGCGACACTGCGCGATGCGCATTATAAGCTAACATTCCCGCCCGCTCTGGTATGACGTAATCTCTTCGCAGCAACGACCGTCGTCGTCGTCGTCTTCCTGCCCCTCTCTCTCATGCTCTTACCACCATCACCTAGTGCTCAATTGCCCGCCGCTTGTCTACTGCTCGCCCGCCGTGCGCTTGCCTGCTCACTTCTTCATTTGTCTGCACACTTGTCTGCCTGCTCGCCCTCCGGTATGCCTGTCTCATTCGCCTACGCGTCTTTTCGCTTGCCCATGCATATCTTTCACTTTCCACGCGCGTTCTTGCCTGTCCGCACGTCTCATTCACACATTACATAGCTGGCCATCCACTCGCCCGTTCGTTCCCTAACTGGCTGACTCGCCCACCCGCTTATCCACCTGTCGGTACTATGACTCGCGGGACCCGTGCACATCGCCGTAAGGATCGCTGGCGCGCCGAGCGACGCGATCTCACGCCCGCCCGCCCACTCTCGTCTTCTGCCTGATCTTGCCTGGCCACGCTCACAGTGTTGTTCACCACTCGCCCGGCGCCGCGCTCAATCACGCCGTCGTGCCACACAGGCATAGCAAACACGGCGCGTCAAGCGTGGGGCACGCAAGAATGCCGGTTTGACCGCGAACGCATCATAAGTGCGTCTCAAGACACACTTGGATGGACGGGAAAGGCCCAGGGACGCGTCAAAAGCGTCCGCGTTTGGGAACGCAATGGATGGGCAAGCATGGTGCGTACACCAATTTCCGAGTGTGCAGCAGACAAACTGTCTGCTCGCCTGGTTCCTCATTGAAGTCATTCGCCTCGTTGCCCGCCCGCCCGCTCGTCCGCCCTCTCTCCTGCTTTCCCGCTCGCTCTCCAGCTTGCCAACTCTCTCGCTCACTTGCTGACTCGCCCACCCGTCGACTTGCACGCCTACTCGCCTGCCCATTCTCTCAAGTGTACCCGTCTCTTGCCCATTCTCTTACCTGGTGCCTCCCGCTCGTGCGCCCGCCCGCTCTCTCCCCCGTTCTCTCTCGCTCGCGTGCCCACTCTCTCCCGCGGTCTCTCTTGCCTGCGCACCCGGTCCCCTGCCTAGCCCATCACACCCGTTCTGCCTCGCGCACCTGTACTCCCTTGTGCACACATTTGTTCCTCGTTGATTGTGTCTGCTCCGCAGTGGTCACTCCCTTGGTCTTGCTTGTTTGCTGCCCACTGCTGCTCGCCTGCGTGCTTGTTGTCCGCTCGCCCTGCCTGCCCATTCACTTGCTCGCCTCAGTCGCTCACGCATCTTCTCACTGATCACGGCATTGCAAGGAGAACAAGGTGCGTAGGCAGTGAGCCGGCAGTTAAGCCTGAGGAACATACACACAAGTTGCGCAAGGCTCTCGATGTCCCCGACTTCAAGACAATAATGCGTATGTTTCAGATTGTGTATGGTAGGACTCGGCACTCGTAACACTCACATTCTGCCAATACCTACAGGAGTCGTCAAGTCCACGAAGGTGACGAAATGAAGCACAGCAGCCAAGAAATGTCGGCGAGCGGCGGGCGCATGCGAGTGAGACGAAGGCGTGAAACGGGTGCAAGTGCGGTATGCAGGGTGCGGGCGGGCGCGGTACGTAGGAAGCGGGTGGGCGTAGTGTGCAGGTGGTGTGTGGGGTGGTTGGGCGGGAGCGCATGGGCGCGGTATGCGGGCGTCGGGCGTGGCATGCGGGTGGTACGCAGGGTGTGGGCGCGCGGGCGTGGTATCCAGGGCGCGGGCGGCGCAGGACGCGGGCAATGTATACACGATAATTGTATTATTTTTCTGGCAGCTAGTGCAATACAGGAGCATCTAGCAATATGCCCGGATCTGCTCCCAGCTGCATACACGTAATTTTCACCCTCAGAGCAGCTCCGAGCATCTTGAAAAATGCAAAAAGTCCGGATTTCATGCTCCAGGCTGCTCGGAGCTGCTCGCAGATGTCCTTTTGACAGTGGCCCCACCGAGCAGCTCCGAGCATCTCAGAGCATCTCCCAGCAGATGCGTTTTTCACTGGGTTTGAGGCTTGCTTTGGAAAGTGACTTTGTGTTCCAGCGTCGCAGCTATTGTTAGACGCTCTAGTTGACCCCGCCTAGTAAACTCGCTTCATAGGATGTGTAACATGACTTACTCGGGCAGCAAATGCCGTACTACAGCAGGCCTTGCACTAAGCTACGCTGCACGACACAGGTGGTGCTGCTAGTCTTCTAAGACACAACAAGATCGGAGCGGAGCTATGCAAAACAACTGATGATTATAAAACATTGCAACTCTGCATTCCAATTTGAGCATGTGTCCGTACTCGAGCAGATCTTCCGAGTCCGGCGTGGCAACAGACATAAGCCTCCTCGAAGTAGCGTCCGTAGTCACCCTAGCGAGCTCAGGATCAGACGTGTCGACCGCAGATGGAGACGGAATGTGAGGTACCAGACTAGGCAGGACCAGCGCCGAGGATGTAGGCACGGCCGGTGCTCCTGTCGACAATGAACCGGGGACGTCCCTGGGAGTCGACCATGGCGCTCGACGCAACAACCGCACTGTCTTTGGGCTTCGCCGAACGACTCTTCTTCTTCGCCGAGGCTTCGTCCCGCCGCTTGCCTCTCGTACCGCCGCCCGAGGACGAACACTCGGCTATAGTGTGGCCGGTTTTGCGCGCACAGGACGGATTGGTGCACATCTTCTGAGCCGACCGGGCAGGTTTGCCCTCGGAGCCACCGCCACCAGCAGTTGCAGAAGCGTCGACCATCAGCTGCTCCCACTCCAGGCGCTGAACGATCTGAGTGGAGCCGTACGGAGCAGACGGCGTCGCCAATAAGAGAGCCGTGCGGACTTGAGACTGCAGGTGTTTGAGTTGGCCGTTCATAGCATTCAGCATGGCGGCCGTGAGCAGCGCGTCCGGGGTCGGAGGTCCGATGCTGAAGATGTGATCGACCAGCTTGGCGATACGCGTAGAAGTGACCGAGAAGTGCTCTGAGGGTGAATAACGGCACGCAAAAAGCTCCTGCAGTAGAAGAATCTGCGTATACGCCCCAAGTTCCTTCTCGTGGCGAAGACAAAGAGCTGTCCAGACATTCTGCGCGCCGGTGTAGCGTTCCATGAACTTCTGTTCCTCCCGTGACGCCTTCGATCCTAGGAAAGCGATAATCATCTGCTCGTTGCATTTGTAGTTGAAGGCGGATTCCGGGTCGGCCGTAGAGTCAGGAACAGGGATGAGGCCGACTAGATAGTCCCAGAGCGAGCACATCTTCAGCGACTGAGTAATGTACTCTTTCCATTCGAACCAGTTGTTCTTTGCGCGGTCTAGAATGATGCCGCCGGAGAACAGGGGCTCCGGAAGGGTGACAACATTGATCTTCATGATAGTCGACGTGGGCGGGGACAGCGTTGCCGCTAGTTGGAGATCCGTTGGTGCGGATATGGTGCTTTGCGAGCCTCCTGGAGTCTTCGGTGCCGTGGGGACCCAAGTATTCGGACTGGACGGAGTGCTGGCAGTCATTAACCAGCGAGACAAAGTGGATATATGCGCTCTTCTATGGGTGCCTGGGTACCAGAAATGCTGGTGGAAGGCGAAATTAAGCTTTAGGCTTTCAGGAATGGATCGGTGACTGCCGACCGAGGCTCATAGAATCCTGGACTCGTCGGTAAGCACTAAATACAGGTTTCGTCAGTCTTTCAAGTACAGTGGTCGCAAAGAATGAGACCTACCTCAGCCAGCGTGGTGACTCGACTGAGGAAAGGAAGAGAGAGAGAGAGGGGAAGAGACGAACACGACCCCGGCGGTACGTCACGTGTCGCTGGCGGGAGATCGCGTTGGTAGGTCCCGAGGTGCGCAACCGCCCATGTCGGTGGAGGCCAATGTTGTATGTGGCAGAACGGGAACCGCTGAAATCCTTCGAAGGGTCGCCCGATGGCCCATCCGGGTTCAAATTCGAATCGTGATCATCTCCACAAATAATGTTCGCGCAAGGGTTCTCATACCCTAATCCGGCTTGGATTGTGAAGATAGGACGACCAGAGACGCTCGCATACCGCACGTTTGGTATGGAGCCTCTGAAAAGCCGTGGTTTGACAGAGCCACTGACATCGGTTGCGTGCCCTGACTCTCCTGTTGCCCAGTGCAACGTACGCAGGTTCGGTTCACTCCGGAAGAACTCGTAAGGATCATCGATGTACTAGTATGTCTCGTCGGAGCTATAGATCTTGAAGGATTTGAATAACAAGACGGTCTTCCTCGTCCATTGTTCGAGTACGCTCCGTCGCCTGTGCTTTGTCTGCCTTCTGAGAGCGGGCAAAGACTTTGGGCACTGGAGGCTGAATGAGATTCAGAGTTCCGCTGCCCGAGATTGACTGCGGCGCCGATACTTCAGACCCTTTCGCGAGGCAATAGACGCCTCCGGGTCCCAGACGGGTTGCTATCGCCAGATACGAGAGCCTGGGGAGTGTCATTCGCACCCCGGCTGTCTAATCTGGAGTCGGTGCTTTGCGAGCCATCGAAACTACGAGACGACTCGGGGAACCCAATAGCGAGATTTTTTGGATCACCCGGCGCCGTAAGTCTATCAATTGAAGCAACGTTCAGTGTTGGAAGAGATTCTCCGTGTGATATGTGACGTACCTGGTCCAAAGGCATGCGCCTACATCACTGCTTGCGCCTTGGCAATGGCTTCCGAGTCAGATTTGGAAGGGCAGCCGTGAATCGGTCGCTTCCTCGTATCATCGGTGTCCAGGATGACGCCGTGAATGTCCGGCAGGAGCGTCAAGTCATCCAGCTGACGAGTCGTTACTGCAGTGACTTGTCGCTGGACACAAGGCGTTTTTCTCATCTGAGGATTTGTGGACTACCGCCGGAGGCGAGCGGGAGGCGGAATAGCGCTCGTATCCGATGGTCAACTCGGCATTGGAGCGTAGGTGGAGGATGATGGCAAAGCCTTCCTCCAAGATTAATTGCACCTGGTGGGAAACACTTCGGAAGGCACGCCAACGGGTTGTCGTACCCTAGATACTCCAGAAAACATGAAGTGCTCGTGGCAGAGACACCGGGCATAGAAGCGGCCGTTCTAAGACGAGTAGTCAACGAGGCGGACAGAGCTGGGACTCGGATGGGTCGCCGTGAGACGCGACGTGTTTGGGGCAGCTCCGCACTAGCATTGGAAGCCGAATTAGTAGAAGCTCACTTTGTGGAGGACTAATTGTACCTAGGCGGAGGAAGTTCATGCGACGGTACTAACGGCGATGTCGTTGATTCGAGGTTTGAAGGCCCTGCTGATTCACCAGCATTGCTGGGCGAGCCTGAGGACCCCATGGACACCCTGATGGTTCGTAAATATGAAGGTACACGAGAATAAGAAGCAGAGAAACTGACCATGGAAGTAGCATCGGAGAGACACTAACATGCTGCATTCCTACAGCTTCTTCTGCGTGCTCTTCGTAGAGCCGCATGCATTCATTGAAACCGGGTGCAGCGCGCAACAATGGGGAGACATCTGCGTCGTTGTTGCCCTCTTGCGTCTCGTGGTCTGGAGCGAGAACTTCGGGGGTCATTGCTGCTGTGCCGCCTTGTGCAGCTTGCACTGGCGCGAGTTGTTCGAATTGTGCGTCGAACAGGAGCAAATGAAGGCCAAGGGGGCATCCGGCATGACAGTTGCTTCCTGAGCGAACTTCACGTCATCGTAGGACGATCGCATGGAACTAAGTTTCAACGTCAGGGCGCTACGAACAAAGGATTTGACTCACCCTTTCAAAATCTCAGCCGTCATGACTAGATTTGGGACAACCCGACAACGAAGTCTGGTTCGGTCGGCCCCATATGGTGATGACTCTGTCGATAGGAGCAGCGTTCAGCGTCGGGCAGTACTGTACTGTGCGTAAGATGTGTGACATACCTGGTAGACGGGTAGGCTACTCTCCGGAACGTAACCCATGGTCGGAGTACCCTTATGCGCTCTTATCGTGAACGGGGCGCCATGCGTTGCTAGAGTCACCCTCGTCAGCGTAGACTGAATCGTCGCACAGAGAGAACTCACTCTCATAGGGGCGACCAATGTGCCCTGTACAGTTCTGCTGCATCTGGTCTGAGGGGCAATGGTCAGGAGGAATGATACGCGGCGGGGAGGCAGCGTAGGGCAGATCATAATGGTTAAGGCGCAGGAACACAGCGTTCTAAGAGACCACCTCGCACGTATTTATGCCTGAGACGACGCACGATGCATTCTACATTTAGCGAACAAGACAGAATGCTTGGCCGCTCGGAAGACGAGGGCCGGCGACACAGAGCTCATTGCTGTACTTATCGGTAGTACATTGTGCGATGTCACTCACCAGCGGCCAGCGCGCATCTTCAGATCAGTAGAAGCGCCATGATGCGGGCTGGGTTCTGCGGCGAAGTAGGCAGTCGCTGCATAGCAGGGCGATCCGCGCATCTGCAGTCTGTGTGACTTAGAATGTGACGGGCGGGGCGGACGTGACGACTGATGATTCTGTACGGCGACACAGCCAATCGCCTGAGAAAGACCGGCCACTGGGTACAGCTTACACTTAACGTCTTATACGAGTTGACACTGTGTTCCTTTAACCAGTCATTAGACGCACAGCTGCGTAATCCAGACGTGTAGAGGTATCTAGAAAAGGCCATCAGGCAATCGCGATGTATCTGGATGACACGATCAGAAAGGATGGACGTAGAACGTCGGCGGACTCACTGTTTGCAAGCACAATGAAAGGTGTGGGACATTCGTCGCGTGAATAACCGAGCATGCGTGCCATATCGGTATCACTATGCAGCTCAGACGTGAGGGGCGCCACAATGCAATCATAACCTCGATCTGGACTCACTGGACGTGTCGCAGAATATCCACGTCGCGCCTCCATCGCTGTTTGACGATGAGCATGGCTTTACTTCAAGTCGAGGCGAGTAATGGAGCGTACCTCAGACGTTGCGTCTCGAGGGCCCTCATACCGCTTGACTAACACACGCCGTCCGTCGACCTCCGCCTGAGTCACCCCTGCCCACCATCCATCTTGCACGCGGGAGCGCCCTCGAAGGACAAGATCGGATTGGTGATATCGTCGAAACTGAAATGAACATCTGAATTTGCCAATCATGAGCAGGAATGCAGAACACTTACGCCCTCGTCATCTATTGCGGGAGCTTTCACCTTGGCAGCAGCAGATTTGAACGCTAGCTTGGGGGAGGAGGCGACACTGAGGGATGTCTGGCTCTCGACAGACTGGGGCCCTGAGCATCGCGCGACAGGGACAACTTCTAAGACGACGTCTGAGGTTGAGCCAACGGTGTCTTTAGACACGGGCTGGACCACTTCAGGCCTCTGTGACACCGTCAAATCCACAAGAGTAGAGGTGTCTGACATGTCAGAGTCTTTCCGGGTCGCCGTGCCTTGACTTGCAATAAACTGGCCTTGAGGGTGAGACGGCGCGTGTGCTGCGATTGTGAAACATTGCTCACTTCGGAGTGTGTAGTTTGCCCGACGGGAGTACTTTTCGCTCCAGAGCATGAATTCTCGGTCTTCCGAACGGCAGAAGTCACTCGCTTGCGCTCGTCTCCGACGGCACGGTGTATGTTAATTAACGTTGCAATCTGAGACACCGTCGCAATTATTGTACATCCTCGACAAAACGATCGCGGGAAGGGACACATACCTGAAACGAACGTTCCGCATCATCCAATTGTGTGGCGAGACTGGCCAACGCTTTCTCAATGGTACTCTTCCTTTGCAACCGCGTGCGCCAGTTCTTCGACGCCTCGCCTGCTAAGAACACTTGGATATTCTCCAAGGTACTAGGATTATGACAAAGCTGTGATATCGCCTGTCACCCGTCGTGGACGTCCACTCACGTCTCGAAGGCCTTGAGCGCCTTTAGGAGGGAAGGAGGCGCATCCACCCAACGGCCTTCCATTTGGTCGCGAGTGCGGCAGAGGATTGATAGACAACGATTGGCCAACCGCCCGCAATCTGCCTTGTTCGTCTGTATCTTCTATACATTAAATCTAACGTCAGGACATCTGTTAATCATTCTAAACGTCAACTGACCTGGATAGTCTGAAAAATCTCGAGCAACATGCCTGCGGCTATGGCTGCTGGCGGGAACGAGGCAAGATTGGCCAATTCTTGGGTCGCAGCTGCCACATCAACAGCAAGGTGAAGAACGTCCCTTGCCGTGATTTTCGAGATCGCGAGATCGACAGGCATTTTGTGCAAATTGAGAGCAGATACTAGCAGAAAGTTGTGGTACTGGAAGGATGATAGCAAGACAAGATCTGGAGCAGGTTGTTGACTCGGGGAACTTGAGGGCGGATCTGTGACACTCAGGGGGTAACCACAACAACCAGTTGGTACGTCCTATCAAGTGATATACATGGGTACGCATGTGTCTTGTGCACGGAATTGCCACTCTGAGTCTGGCATTGACAGCTGGTGAGAGAGTATGATGGCAGTAGATCTTTCTGGTTGTACGCGCTGAGCTGCCAGTAGTGTGACGCAGCCGTGACTCGACGCGTCGGTCACACCATAGCAGCCGTCACGGCGGCTTCAGCGACTCGGAGCTCACCCTTCGTAGCCCTTCTACCCCCACGACGCTCATCTGTCTTGCTTGAACTTTTCTCTGAAGTTCGAGATTCCTTTGAGCACGCCACAGAGACACGCAGGTCTTCGATCAAGCCTCCGATGCCCCCAAAAGATAGTCCGAACATGGTGAGCAGCGACGAATACTCTCGCACCCGCGTATGTCCAACGGAAACGGTACTGGGTAGCCTCGCCCTGCGAAGAGACCACGTCTTGAACCTCCCGATGGGTTTGAGAGGACAGGAAGCCCTGCCAAGAAAGTTGCTTCGGTCAAGTTTGTCTCTGCATTCGAGACGCGTACGCATCCACCACGGGCTAAGCCCACGAGGAATGTCAAGGCGAGCGTGCCTTCATTAGATCTTCCTCGGCCTCCGAACCTGGGAACGTCCGTGAAGGGAAAAGGGACGACATCTGCTAAACCCGTTAGTCTGCGCGTCTTGAAACCCCCACCCGTGCCAAACGCTGCGAAGGATGACAGCCCCAAGAAGAAAGTGACGGCGTTGACGTCTAGGCCGCCTGTTCCAATCCCGCAAGACACGAATGCGAAACTCACGAGTATCAGGCGTCTTCAGCCGCGCCCGGTCACGCCTCCACCCCTGAAGAAGGCTCAACCGCTCATGAGCATGGCGCCCCCACCTCCTCCGGTGGCTGGATCCTCTCGTCTGTCTGCTTCCGATTTGAAGTCAATCTTCGCGACGAACGTCGCACTGGCGACTGACTTCCGCTCGGAAAGTGGACAGGCCGAGGTGCTCTCAATATATATTCAGCAGCACGGACACGGATTCGTGGATCCCAATGACAGGGAGCTGCAACGTGGACTGGAGCAGAGCCCGGAGAAGCTCTTCAAGCACACGAAGAATGCGAAGTTCGCTAGGTGGGTCTGCACCCTTGCACGTAGTTCACTAGTGCTCATCGCCATCATGTACAGAGGAGGCCTCGCTGACCGAGCCAGAATACAGTTCAAACAGCGTCAGACGGCCCTCTCGCTCTGGCAGACCTCGCTCGAACTCGAGCTCCGCGCGAAACGCCGCCCTACACCCGACATGCGCTTCCGAATCATCTCCATCCTCCACTCAGCCACAGAGGCTGACCATCTCCGCACATCGCACCCACCATGTCTCACGCTTCTGAGGTGCAATATCATGCCTGAGTTTCGACAGGAGGAGACGATGCTGCTGCTGAACTTTGACGCTGCGTCTGGGGCGTCGGCGGTGAGGTTTCAGAAACCGGGTGACCTTAAAGTTGGAAGGGAGGTCTTCCTATGGAAACCGTGGCATACCCTAGACGTTCCGCGTGATCTGGCCGGACAGCTAGTCCACTCGGATCTTGTCGGCCCAACCTTGTCGGAGGGGCAGGCTACTGATATCCGGACGGTCCTGTTCTGCACAAGGTTCTGGCTTGCTCCGTTTTAGTGCCTTTGGCTTTACTCCTAGCCAGCTCAATTGACCTTCAAATCTCTTCTGGATCGGACGCTGTATCTCCTGTATATACGTATTGGTCGGTTTTTATGAATGTGTCGCCCATGTATTGCCTCGAAATCGGCGCTAAACAGGGTATTCGCACACGTGATCGTGACGCGTCTTGAGCACGATCGCGACAGTTTCAGACAACGCGTCTGAGGAAACGCATATACTCGGTACTTTGCTCTCGACCTCAAGCATACTCCTTTCTCTTCGCACTTCTTTGGTCCGCTCACGCCACAATGCCTCGTACCAGCAATGCTAAGGTGATTGATCGTCCATCCACCTGCTACCGAAGTCACTGAGCGGATGCTGAACTCGTGATGAAGGCGTTACTCGAGTCTCAGAGTAGCGATGATTCTGGGTGCGTTTATGCTGAAGCACTCCATTGATATGACCGCAAACCAATGTGCATGAAGCATTATGGCGGTTGTTGCAAAGCAAATGCAGTGTACGTAGGGCGCATATAGTCAGATTCTTCGCTCATGCGCGACGCATAGCGTCATGGGAGAAGAAACGGAAAGAGAAGGAAACAAAGTACTTCGCCGAAGCTCAGGCTGTACTGTATCAATACGTAAGATGGCCAGGATGATTTATGTGCGTCGAGGACTCACCCCCGCCGCTTCTATGTCGTGTAGATTGAATCGCACCGGGAAGAATATTTGGAGGCCATCGCTGAAATGTAACATTCCGAAGACGTCCGCGTCGGGTAGCATGCATTCAACGGACTTTCAGGACCACTGTCTACGAGAAGTTCGTCCAAGACTACGCCGGCGTCGAAGTCGAGATCCGCAAATTGCTCCTGCAGTTCTCGCGGGAGCAACAGAAGATGCTAGTAAGCAGCACTGTTCACGAGCAATTATGATCAATACTCACGAAGGATGCAGAATCTGGCGGAAAACAAGTCCAAGCAGATGGTCGAGAGCGAGAAAGTCCGAGAACGTGGGCAGGTGCAAGGGATGGCTACAGCCAAGAAGGCTATGGAAGGTGAGTCGGGGATGTCGGGTCCTGGTGTTCCAGGTACAAACTGTTTCAAATTTGCACCAGATTTCAATCGGTTTGCGAGCATGCTGAATCAACATGAGTGAGACGCGGTATGCTTCCATGGAGGATCGTTTGAGTCGAGGGGGTTATGATAGTAAGACGTCAGCCTGAGTACTCAGGCTCTCGATCATAACTGATGTTAATGTGTCAGTCAGCAATATCCGTCGGAAATGCTACATGTGTGCCTTGCGTTGTTGAACATCGCCGAATGTGATGAACCACTCACACCTATCATGGACATGGACCGAAGCAATGCGGTACAATCTAAGGCAGGGCGATATCGGTTAGAACCATAGACGTTGAAGCGCATGGGCATGCGTCGTTGTCCATGACCGAGTCACTTCGGGCCTGAGGTGATGTCCAGAGCTTTGTGTAGATTTGAAGAAGCTGTCACCGCAGCATGTTCGCCCAACTGATTTACCTCCTATTTCGATAGGGCACCTGCTTCCTCTGCTCTTGACCAAAATCGTGTTATGCGAGGGCCTTTCAGCAGGTACGAATTGATAAGGCATGTCTCTGTCACCAAAACGAGCCGCCGATTTATTTGCACTAACCTATCTTGAACCATTGGTGGGCCCGACGATATTGAAACAATGCAGTCATAGACATACATCGCAGACACCGCAGCTGTGCTTCATATGCTGTTGACCATGTCAACAGTAAAGTGCTCTTGGCGGCCGAAGTAATCATCTGTCATGAACTGACTATAATTTCGCTTCGATGCAGAATGCCTCTCACCGAACCGCGAATCAAACCTGAAGGCCTGACACCTTGCGTCTTCTCGGATCGCTGCGTCGACGTGAGTAATTCCATCTTGGTATACCAGATAGTTCTTACTGACCTGATGATGTGTCTTGCACCACTGGCTGCAGATCTTGACGACATTCCGTGTGATGCTCTCAAATTGGAATTGACCACTGCTGTCCATCGTATCGCTCAAACCATGACATGGCTCCACGTTGACGCAGGGTGAGCTTGGGGTGAGCCGCAGCGCGCTTCAACGCGTGAGATGCGCATCTCGGCAAGTTGCGGCAGCGATCCAACAGGTCCATCGGCGCCTGAAAGAGGCCTCTCGCTTGCAAGCCCACAGCAAGCCCTCTTCCTGCGCACGACCGCTCAACTTGCTGCCAGTCCCCCACAGCTATCTTCTGTTGCACATCATAGCCAAATCCATTACGACGGCTCACGAATCGCAGCGCGTCGTCTGACGAGGTCAGTGTGACAGTACTTCGTCCAAGCGGAACCCATTAACTCGTACTCTCAGCGCTGAATGTCTCCTCAAGATGACGACTCGCCCCGCAGTTCCCGTCCTCGCGCGAGCACGAGCTCCTTTCCACAGTTGCCCTGGCGTCGACCCAGATCAGGCTCTGTCACAGCACCGACGCAGCCTGCCCCGCCGACCCCTGCTCTTACCCTAGAGGCGCTCATTGAAGCTCTTACACCGCCAGCCGTGCCCTCGCTCTCCCATGCACGGAACCTATGCAACGTGCTCACTACCCAAACACCAAGTCCTCGCTACGCCGTCCTAAGCCCGATCGTGGCTTCACTCTCCTCCTCTGATTCGCCTCCGTCCCTGCAAGCCGCCGGATACGAGATACTGGGCACGTATTGGAAGCATTCCGGCTCTTCCATCCTCACTACTGCTGATAGGCTCTCGTGCTTATCCTTGTTCTTCAACTCGGCTGTTCCATGGTCGACTGAACTCTGGGAACCGCGCTTCAACGCTCTGGTCGCGATCATCCAGTCAGGTGCCGAGACGGTCGAGATGGAGAGTGACCTCCTCAAGGTACTGCGGTCGTGGATAGAGGGGGCATTTGAGGGGCTCACGCGCAGAGAGCCGCCCTCTGCGGATGAATGGGAGGAACGGGAACGCAGCGTAAAGCTCCTGACCGATTTTCTGACAACCCTGGTAGGCAAGGCCGAGTTTGTGTCCAGGCTCTCAGAAGAGGACACGTCCGAGGTGCTCAATCTATGGGGGAGGCTGATAGATCGTGCGCTCTCTGTCTCTTCCGAGTCTTTTCCCTTGCCGTCGATGCCAGCTTCTCCGGTGAATGACGTACATGCGTCGAAGACGACTTCGCCGAGCAGGTTGCACTTGGCCCACCGGCGGCATCAATCGTCGATTTCCATCTCTCAGATGAGGGAGCGGAGGCATCCAGCCGACATGATCGTTGAAGCGTACGTCACGTACTTGGCGACGCGGCTCACTGCCCTTGCCCCACACTACCTCAAAAGTATTCTACCTCTTCTCTTCCGCTGTCTAGCGTATTATTCCACTCCCCTGCCGCGCATAGCGCTGTCGTCGAACCCGCTCCATCACCATCCCCTCGAGAAGCTTGTCACACAGACGCTCAAAGATCTCGTTTCCGGCCCGTACTCCTCCTCCTGCACGATCCTCGTCAAACGTTACCTCTTCCCGCCCCTGCAGGCCTGCGTGAGCGGCGACGCACAGAGGTCCGTCGGTGCGCTGCGCACGTTGCGCCTCTCCATTCGCGATACGCTCTCCGGACGGCTCGTGCGCGCGTTCATCACACGAGCGAACGCCACGGAGTACACGCCGGCGGGGGTGCTGACGCGCATCGACCTCGAGCAGGACTCTCTGGCGCGCGCGTACGCACAGGACGAGCTCGCCTCGTGGGATTTGCTGAAGTTCCGTGGCGTGCTCTGCCGTGCGATCAAGGCGTGGGTGGAGGCGCCGGAGGAGGGCGAGGGCGAGCAGGGTGCGCCGACGGCAGCGCGGGAGCAGGTGCTCACGGAGGCAGCGAACATCGTGAAGGACGTCGTGCAGGCGCTCGATGCGCGGGACGAAGACGATGAAGTGGACGACGATGAGGTGGATGCGGTTGGAGACATTCTTCGCGCTCTCGTCGTGTATGTGCAGCATTTAACGTAGGTCATCTCTGTCATTCTTCTCCTGCCCGCGTGTCTGATGTGACGATCCGCTTGAAGGGACCATGATGGCATGCCCGTAGTACTCTCGCTTTCGCGCGTGGACGATACGACACCCCTCCTTGCGGCGATCTCGACCCTCCTCGGACAGGATCTAAACACGACTGCGATCTATCCCGTTCTCCCGGGCATCCTGCTCTCCGTCGCAGGCCACATTCCGGATGCGGATACCGCAATTCTGCTGAAGACGATGTCGGAGCGTCAGAGCCTGTCGCCGATGTCCCCTGGGTGGCTCGCACATTGGAGCAGCGTCCTCGCGATCCCGGGTCTATTCAGGTCATCGCGCGTGTCAACACGAGAGCACGCAATGTCAATATTAGACGCGGTGTGGGAGTTCGTGAAGGACATCCCGGACTACCGTCGGCCGCTTGCGAAGCTTGTGTTCGAGTTCTGGCAGCAGCAGACAGAAGGACGGACGGAAGACGTTGCGATGAGCGTCGTGTTCCGCGTCCTCGGTGACGAGGTCATATGCCGGAGTGCGGAGAGCAACGCGGATACGAGCGGGGAGTCAGAGGATTCCCAGGTCGCCGATCAAATTCTGTACTTCTTAACGAGACTCGCGGGAGAGAGGGAGGATGAGGAGGATGACGCGGCATCCATCAGAACGACGGATGCGCCTATGTCGATGTCCCCGCAGGCGTCGCATATGGCGTCGACCGCGTCCTCGCCGACTCTGGTAAGGTCGCAGACGGAGCTTCCTGTGAGGGAGAGAGACGGAGGACTACCGTCTTTATCGGCGATGTCGTCGTTCCTCACCAACACATTCAATACCGGTCATTCCTCTCGTTCGCAGTCACAACCTCGGCCGTCGTTAGACAGTGCACCCTCGACGGAGTCGCCGCCCGCTTTACCAGCAGAGGCGCCGTCGATGCTCAAGTCTGTGGGTGCTGTAGCGGCACTAGCGTCTGTCTTCAGTCAGCTCGCGTTCACACCACTCGTACACATCGAAGAAAATATGCTCCTCGCCAGACGTGTTTTCGAAACCTTGATCGAGCTCCTTGGGACAGCGGAGTGCATCCGAGCGAGGCTGACGATCCTGCAGTTCATCATGCGCTTCCGCGTGGATCGGGACCATAAGCTATACTACGCAAGCCGGGAGAGTTACGACAAGGATGGGAATATCGCCTCGCTCGCTGCGCTTATCAATCGTAATCCTAACCATCCCGCGACCGCCGAACAAGTGACTCCTACCCAGGAGGTCCGCACGGCGCGTCCTCGAGTTCCGCAGGAACGCGACGGGAGGAGGCCGTCCCGGGGTAGAGGCGGACAGCCGGCGAAGATGGAGTCGCGAAGCCGTTCAAGAACGAATCCGCGGCTTGTGTCCGCGCCTGCGTCTCTCCGCCAGTTCAAGGCGAGAGATCCTTTGTGGTTGCTTCCTGAAACCCCACCGTTCACCATCGACCTCGTCGATACTCCGAGCGAGGTGATCATGTCATATGACCCTTCTGGACCGAAGGATGGCGTCGTTCTTCCGTGGTCGAAGTACCTGCGGAGGCTGGTCGAGATGGTTGAAGGCGAGAAGGAGTGGGAGGTCCTGTCATATGTGCTCTGCCACCTCCCGACACAGCTTGCCAACAAGCATCTGTTCTGCGGGCCGAAGTCGAAAATCGTGCTGGGCGAGATGGTTCATGCCATCTGTACGGGCATCCTGAACAACAATCTAGCCGGGCATATCGAGCGTTGGCCGGACAACCTCATTCCGAGAGATGCACATGGTCTGGCGTATCATACGTTGACCGTGTTGATCAGCTACAAGCGCTGCTTCCCGGACTTACATGTTCGGCACCTGGTAGTGGAGGCCTTTCTGCAGGGGCTCAGCGGGCAGTCGTCTACGATCAAGTGCTGTCTGCATGCATTGTCACTGTCTGCGTTCGAGTTACAGCCCTCGATGACGAGGTATTTGTCCACGATCCTCAAGAAGTTGTCGGATATCATGTCGAATCCGGCTATGGCAGTTCACATCATCGATTTTCTGGCTATCGTCGGGTCCGTTCCTACCCTACACTCGAACTTCACGGAAGACGACTACAAGATGGTCTTCGGCGTGGCGCTGCAATATCTGCAACACTACAATCACTCCAACGACATGCCTATATCCGGGGCTCTGGCGCAGCATGTTCGAATCATGTCATACTACATCGTCTACCTCTGGTTCCTCGCGGTGGACCTCCACGACCGCCCTCGGCATATCAAGTACATATCGAGGCAACTGTTGCTGGCAAACGAGGGCAGAGAGGAGATTGATGAACCTACGGAAGTGTGCTTTGACTGGCTTGCGCGCTACACATACGCCAGTGCCGATCCTCGTCCCGCCGAGTCGATGCTCAACGACATCGTCATGAATCCCAGCGTGCAGCAGCAACACCACGAGCCTGCTGTTAGCGAGAAGTCCTGGATCGGTGGTACTGCCGTCATCACAGTGCGCACCTTGGCTAGGCGTGGTTGGATGGAGGTGATCACCCGCCGCTCATCTGGTCTCACGAAGTTCCTCTGCAGAGCGGAGAACGTCCCGATGGTACCCGTTGGGGACGTTGACCCCGACATGGCTTCCGTTGCGGCGACATTGACGCTAGACCGAGGATTCCATAGCAGAGGTGTAGAGGAGTGGCACGAGAATCGTCATCGCAGGGTGAAGAGTCTGTCATGTGAGTTGAGATTCTCTGTATTAAGGACTTCGCTCATATGGGCCCAGCATGAGCTTCAGAGCAACATGGGCGGTCCCACAGAGGATGAAGCTTTAAAACCAGACCCTATCACCGGTTACATTTGGAGCGGGTCTGCTCCGTCGCAAAGGCGGAAGAATGTCGCCATCGATCCAGCCTATTTTGCCCTGCAGCTCTCCTCTTATCCTGACAACGTCTCCTCTGCCAAGCTGCGTCCAGTGACCGATTCCAATCGACTGCAGAGCTTCTTTCGCAGTCTCGACCGTATGCCGGTGATCGACACGCACAAAGTCGGCATCATGTACGTGGCGCCGGGCCAGCGAGAAGAAAGCGAGATCCTCCGTAATAGTCACGGATCGCCTGCCTACAGCCGCTTTTTGGAGGGTCTCGCACGGCTGATCAATCTTCGCGGACAGAAAGATGTCTACGCTGGAGGGCTCGATCCAGACGATGACGGCGAGTATGCGTATGCATGGTGGGATGACACTGGCCAGATCCTATTTCACACGGCGACGCTTATGCCTGCTTCGGACGCGAACTGTCTGAACAAAAAAGCGCACATCGGAAATGACTTCGTTCGGATCGTCTGGAACGATTCGGGCATGCCTTACAGATTTGATACCCTGGCCACGCAGTTTCAATTCGTCAACATTGTCATCGAGCCTCATTCTCGCGGTGCCATTGCCGCGTTCTCAAACAACCTGCACGAGAACGAGTACTTCAAGGTCATCGTGCAGCGCGCAGAAGGGATGACGGAGTTCACCCCCATCGGTGACTTCAAGCTGATTTCGGCCGAAAAACTTCCGCTTCTCGTTAGGCAGTTGAGCCTGCTCACCGACTGGTTTGTATCCGTGTATCAACATACGAAGAACGACACAGAACGGACGGAAATGGTCACGAACTGGCGTTCGCGTTTGCAGGCCATCAAGAGGTTCCGCGCGCAGATGCTGTCTCAGCAACCGTTCACCGACGATGTCGCAAAAGAGCAAGGCCCCAAGGCACAGCTGTACCGCGACTTCACGACGATATATTAGGAATGTATTAGTAGGGTTTCAACTGTGTTCTTGGTTTGACATCGCTGTCTCCTCTCTTCCTCTGGCATCTCTGTAGCAAGCATAGTAGATCATGACCCTCCCATCCATCATCTCGTATTCCCGGACTCACAGAAAGCAAAGAATGGAGTGTAGTAAACAACGAATACATTTGATACCGCCAGACTGCAAATCACGTTAGATCGATGATATCGTGGGGATCCACGAGTACTTGTGTCGAGAATTTATGTCTCGCTCTCGCCGATGTGGATTTTGCCGATACATTGGACGTTGTTGACACCTTGGTCCTCGCCAGGAACAACGGGGCGATCTTGGGCTGACGAGGGCCCTCTGGCTCTGAGTCGCTCGATATAGATATCACTGACACATCGAATAAGTGGTCTCGCTGCGGCGATGAAGACGAAGTCTTCGTGGCCACCCTACTGGGAGGCTGGCGGATTGGCGACGGGGAAATAGGTCTGTCTGAGAACTCTTCACCCTCACTGGATGACATGACGGATACAGGGGATGTCGGCCTGGTCTTGCCCTGCCTACGGGGTGATGTTTGTTTCTGCGATTTACGCGGAGATTTCTGCAACGGTCCATCGCGGTTGGCTTTGTCAATATGTCTCTCGACCGGCGACTGGCTGCGGCTAGACAATCGCTTCGCGTACGGACGAAGAATGCCCACGCTGTCGGCCCTGATCAATCCGGTGGAGGTTGGCCTGTCGTCGCGTACTTCATCTTTGTCGAAGGACATGGGAAAGGGGGCGGGAACAAATGTCTGTCTTTCGCTTGATGAGTCTGACAGGCTCAGGCCCGTGGATGATGGGCGAGAGGTGTTTGTAAGAGAAGGCAGCCTTGACGAGGAAGCAGCCGATCGAGCAAGGTCGGATTCAGTATCAGTGTCGAATGCAGGGGCCGGGCCGGACGGCTTCGACACGATCCGTTTGGAAGTCGTGGGCTCCTCAGCGAACAGTGCAGAAACCTTGGCGGTACTTGACTTCGTCTTGCTCGGTTTGCCGCTCGTATGTGTAGGTTTACCAACGACGAAGAACTCCTTGACGGTGCTGGCTTGTTTAGGAATTGTAGCGACGACGGCTAGCTTCTGCTTGGCTGTACTGGCCTTCGGCCTTGCTTTCTTCGGAGTCGGTGAGACGGAACCATCTGAACTTTCTTCCTCCTCTTCCAGGACAAGTACAGGAACCTTCTTCCCTGCCTTAGCTTTCGTTCCGACAGCGTTAGTCCCTTTGGCCTTGGAGCCACGCGCAGCGGCAGAGACTTTCCCTGCCTTCTTGGCCGCACGCATCTCCTGGATCCCTTCGAACTCATCCACAAGGTCAGGCTGCGCGACGCGCACCATACACGCAGGCAACCAGATCCTCAAGTGACTCTGAGGATCGGGTGGCGGCTTCGGTACACGCTTCTTCCCTTTCCCATCGCCATCCGAGTCGTCGTCTTCTGGCAAGTCTGAATCATCGTCCAGCCCCGTTGCCAATGCCGTACGGAGACCCCTCACCCCGGACTCAGACAGCCGGATGAGATGTGCGGGGGCGACCTCGAGACGATACTCGAGGACACCATCTGTAGATGCGTGTTGTCGTGACGAGTGAATCTTGACGATGAGCTTGTCTTCGTCATCTTCATCTTCGCTGTCGGAGTCGTCACCTCCTGCGCGTTTGGGCGAGTTCAGCTGCAGCGAGGAGAAATGCTCGTAATGACCGACGACGGCGTCCCGGGAACGCGACGCTCCCTATCCTTCCCCTTCTTCGTAGGGGTCGTGGGTTACAGACTGCCGTACGCGCTGCCCGAGACGCTGCACGCTTGTCTCCAACAACGCAACACGTCTCAGGATTCGCAACACAGCAGCAGGCCAGAGCACCGTCCTGAAGCGCTTGATGATGATCTCCTTCACCCCCACTCGAAGTACATCTCGCACAGCCGGCATTTTTCCAAGGTCAGGCTCCTTCTCCCAATCAATCTTGTATTCTTCGACACGCGGCCCTTGGCAGCTGCCTCCGACTCGGACGTGACGGGGTTCGTGTACGATAGGAGGACGTCGATGTCGGGGAAGTCTTCAGGGATCTTCTTCGACAACGCAGCGTACTTCTTGCCAAGAATTCCGCGCGCGTTCGAGCGTAGCTCAGCGCGCACCTCCTCCGCCAGCCGCGCAGGAAGGCAGGGAGCTCCGAGCGCGGAGAGTGCGCGCTGCGGTTAGGAGGCTGTCGCCGAACCCGCAGCGCGCTAGCCCGTGCGCAATCGTGCCACCGCACCCGGCAAGACCGGAATGGTAGTCGCCTCCACGGAGGACACCGATGAGAATTAGCCCGCCGTGTGTCAGTTGGATGGAGGGGTGCGTGAGGATGGCGTGTGAGGTGTAGGTTGCAACATGATTGCCGTCTTCACGACCTGCGCTGTTCTTAAGGGAGTGTGCGCGGTTACCGGATAGAGTTATGCTGGCACTGTTAAGTAGAATGCATCAGTATCTAGAGTGAAGAATGATGGTGAGTGAGAAGGAGCGTCGTATTTAAGACGAGTAGGGCCTCGTTGAGTGTTGTCAGGAAACCGCGCTGAATGTCCACGAACATCGATGATGACCGCATATCTGCGTTAGGGGCCCAACTAAATGAATGGGCAGGGCTCTGGTAATGACGAATGTTCCACCCAGGCCGGGCGGTCTCAGCCCATGAAATGAGCGCAGTAGACATATCACGACGCGTATCCACGAACAGAAGGAAAATCACTTACTTCCGGACAACCATTTTCCCTCCGAATAGAAACGTGTCCACGTCGTCGGTGTAAACTGCATCAATGACGCCCAAGCGATTCAGGTAAGCCAACTCCGCTTCTGCCTCTCCAGGAGCCTGACATTCGTCAAAACGTGTCAGTGATGCACTATGACGCTGATAGATGCCAGAGGGACACAACCCACCATGCGCCACTCGAATCCGAATGCATTGATGATTTCTTGCATGCCTTGTATCATCCAGTGGTTCTTGCCGCTAATTCTCTTCCGCGCTTGATTTCAGGCCTCTTGGGACCATCAAACACAAAGAGGGGTAGGAAGGGAGAGCTCATGAGCTTTGTGCATTTGAAGAACAACGTGCGGAGTTCGGGATTCTCCCCTTCTCGACCGTACGCTGCGTGGAAGAACCAGATACTTGCGTCTATGCCGACGCGGAAGCCGCGCACTCCGTCGGGGTTTGCCTCGAAGCCATCGACGACAGATAGATGGGTTAGAGAGCGCGTCTCTCCTGCCGGACGGAGGATCTGTTCGAATGTCAGAATACCTGCGATTCAGGGGCTCCACGAAGGACCACGTACATCCCACAAGCCAGCGACACCCATTTAAGATAGTTGGGTAGTGTGTGAGACAAGTCCGCTTGAGGTTCTAAGTGGGAGGATCAATGTGAGTAGAAACGACCGGTCGGTGCCACCTCGACGATCCGTCTTCAAGGTGGCGCATCTCAGATTCTCGCTGTTGTGAACCGCGTCGCGTGACGTGACACAAACTCCCGTGCGTGTGACAGACGCGTCCCCTATTACACGACCTCCTCGCGATCGCCTGTCAACTCAGATAACTCGTGTCCCTCAGGTCTTCCCTAGTAGGCACACCCCACACAAGTACGACTCTGCTCAGTGGAAGGATGACGGTATACCTGTCAATATCCAATCATCAATGCTACTACTTAACATCACTGGCAGACACGAGCTGCTCCATACATGCAACTTGAACACACACGCGACACGAATCGAGAATTCTGGGCCTTCCGCTCTCTCAGTCTTCGATTCGCATGCCTCGTCTCTTAGCTGCTTTCCAGTGTTGTTTGTGCGAAATAAACGCCACAGCCATCCCGTATTACATGGTCATACACGTTCTTCAAGTTCGAATTCCTCCGAGGTGCGCGATCAATGATAACGTACTCCATTTACAACTAATTTGGCATCTAGATGCCGCGCAGCCAAAGTTGGAGCCAGTCTGTCCTTCATCCACCGCACTGTGTAGCGTATGAAGTTATCCGCCGGAGGCACGAGGTCGAACCTGCAGTCAAAAGTGATCGACAATCCTGGACATCGTCGAGAGAGAGAAACGAGTGCATGGTTCAATGCTTCCCAATCCACTGGATCTCCCGCATCCTCTTCATGCATATCACGGAACACCTGAGCTATGTACTTGAAGTCTCTCAAGTCGCTGCCCGTAAAGGAAGACAGGAAGTCCGTGAGCGGTCGTGCGGGAGCAGGTCACGGTAGTATGAGCGCATGTGGAGGGAGCGCAGAAACCTGTACTTTGAGAGGTCGAGCAGCGGGAGGACTGTACAGCAACCCAGGGAAAAGCCTACATGTCAGCACCATCGACGTGCGGATTACATTGACTCGGCCACTCGCCTCTTACATCTGACAGAGAAAAGGCAAGATGCTCCAACATGGCGCACTCCCTCCCACCGAGGAGCTCCGCCAGACGCGACGTCGCCCCCCAGGTGTGGAAAAGGTCGATGTCGAGTTTGTGGAGGTCTAATTCGACCGAGGGACGAGACAGCCAGTCCAGCGCGGGCGACGCAGCCCACGTGCTCGTATCCAACCTCAGCTCACGAAGGCGGACGCACGGTGCTCCTCCGCTATCACGCGCGATGATGCGATCCGGAGGATGCACGGATCGCGAAGCCTCAAGAGTGGGCATGAACGCGATGTCGAGAGCGTTCAGTTCTGGGAACGACTTGAAGAATTGTACGACTGCTTCGCCGGACGCGATGAGGGAAGACGCAGAGCTGGAGATGCGCAGCGAGGTCAATCGCGGGAAGAGCATTGAAGGCGACGATGCGGAAGCCGATTCCGACTCGGTAGCTGGTGCATTCGCCGTCCTAGACCTGTCCGGGATCTCCGATGCTGAGTCGACGAGTCCAGCGGACTCCATCAAGAAGATCAGTCCGTTCCAGTCGAAGTCGTACATCCGCAGACACTCGAGGTTCGGCAGGTGACGTGAGATCTCTACAAGGAGAGCGCATCGCAGTAGCAAATCGCGATGCTTCCCCGTCAATCCCATACGAGGGAGCTCCAAGTCGAGGACGTATTCACCGATTCTCGTCCCTGCCTCCCAGGATGATTCTAGAGCCGCCAGGAAACGCAGGCCTTGTCTTCTCCGTAAGAGCTGTACTTTGCGGAACAGGTGGCGACGTGCGCGCGGAGACCACGAACGGCAGATCAGGGAGCAGATCCTGAGACAACCTCTGTTGTCGTGAAGACAGTCGATGACAGCTTCGCACAACTCGAGCGGCAGTTGAGTTGGTGCTGATGGCATTCCTGCATGGTCTTAACACTCAGTCGACTAGTTTCGTGGCACAGCAGGTATGACGACCTCTTACCAGTGCTTGGACAGCGTTGTATATCGTCGATGGGTGCGTTCGCTGAGAGAGTTCGGTGGGCGATCGGCGGGCGAGTTCCATGTCGAGCGCTTCGCCTATCAAGTTCTTATCAGCCGCTGATTAGTCACGCACTTCTTGCGACGGAACTCTGTTCATATCGAGGACTCTTGAGTACTGAGCAATATTAATTATTCTCAACAGGCGGGCATACGGTGAACATGTCTCTTGATTTGGCTTTATTTATCACTGCAAAACATGTATCGCGCCCTACAAGAAGAACAGTGCTTGCGGCGCACCGCATCAGCATGCTACTAGTGTACGGTCAATGGCAAGTAGCTCTGGATAACTCATCGCTCAATGAGTGCATTCTCGCGGCAAAGTGTACAGTCTCTTTCGCATGATGCATTTCAAGAGTATTGGCAGCAAACAATACCCGTAGCCCCTTGAATCCCCTTCGAACGCGGCGTAAACAGTGGCACGCGTCGTCCCGGGCTAAGCCACGTGATCGCGTTGGCTTGGCCCAGTTAAGTCACAAGCGCCGGGATCGGGATTCGATTGTTCTCTCAATTACATACACTCGACGCGTTCATGCTCGTGTACGATTGTTCCAGCACCATGAATTACGCTCTATGACCACTCGGCGCTCATACACTAGTACTGGCACTTGTCTTGCAATCTGCGAAAACTAACCATTCATCTGAGCGACGTCCGTTTGGCATGGCAGACATTGACAAGGCTATTTCCGGCTTTCCATACGTCGAACAACTCTTGGTAGGCTCTCAAGTCTGATTCGGAGCGGATTATGTGTTTGCGTGAGTGGTGAAACAATCCATGTCCCTCGATTGTCCACTGGACGCGGACATTGTCCACCTAATCGGGATGGCAGGGCTTCCAGTATAAATAGGCCCCTGCAAGCCCCCCTCAGTGCTTAACGGTCCACCGACACACATCGCTTTGACACCTATGTATCTCACCGTACTATATACGCACCCCTTGCTACCACTCCTCCTAACCATCTGCACCGCAATCCGCTCGCCGATCGACATCCCGCAACTACGGGATTTCCCTGTCGCGGACCGTCCGTCTCGCGCTCTGGAGCGGTGAAGACGACTCGCCGATCCACATACCGGGAGTTTGAGCGCCTTGTGGACCGCGGGTAGCATACAAACCCCAGATCCTCCCGCCGGATGCGCGGAGCCCCGACTCTGGGACGTGATCGACTGTCAGTGACTCAAGCTCGTCCGCGACTAGCTAACTGACTTTTCCCCGGAAGATGTACCACCAGCATCCTTCGCGGTGAAATTGAACCTCGCTCCTCTGCAGGGTGGCTCGCTGGCGGGTCGTGTACCATCCCTTTGGGCCGCGCTCATTCTGGGGCAACAGGTCAGGCATCACCAAGCGAGCGACTCAAGAACCCCAATGACTACAAGAGAGTCATGTGCCGACTCTGCACTCACGGAAGGCAGCTGCGGACACCCAGGCATCATCAGGGTCTAACGACGAGGTGCGACGACTTGGGAGAGCAGCTTAGACGCGTCGGTGAGCGACACCTCGCGATTTCGCCGTCCGTCGCTGTACGAACTGATGCAGCTTACCCAGAGAAGGCCACCGCTACTGGTGGGCCGCCGCGCGAAGCGAAGAGTTCATGTACGAAGACAAACCGATGGTTTCCAAACGGACGACAAACCCTCCTTGCCACTCGCTGCCACGTTCGCACAACACTCGCGGTGTATCAGTAAATTCGAGCATACGGATGAAGAGAAACTACCGCGAGCGCTGTCCTTCGGGGACATGTGGTCGTCACCTCGGGGATATCCCACCACCGTCGACGGGGTGCAAGTGTCGCATACAGTGCTCCGAGTCGAAGAGACGGTCCGGCACCGCAGTGGAAATACAGCCGAGGTTGCCGAAGAAACAATCGACCCGAGACTTCTTCTCGGCGAAGTCAACCTTCAAAAGGAGGAAGAAGAACCGGGGGCTGGCGACCTCGAAGGTGTAGCATCCCAATTTGCTTCATCTGGTTTGTCCAGCGTCTCTTCTCCACCCCTCTTTCATAATAATGTCTGCTTCCTAGCTCTATCCGGCTGCCTCGCCAACATATCCCGTAGATGCGGAATACGACCTGGCAGACATCGCGTTGTGGCCACTCGCCGCGAGCTCACATCAAGACGATCGGACATGGCCGACACGCTCCACCGTCCCCCACCACTCTTCGTGACACTCCAGATCCAGATCCGACCGGAGCCGAAGAACGCACCAGTCGCCCCGCGGACGAACGCACGGGCTACTCCTCATCGACATCCTTCACGTTGCCGAGTTCACCCGTTCAATGACGCAGTCTGGGTCCGCGTACGTATATGCTCCCTTCCAACTCTGCAGCCGTGGTGCACCGAACCTGCAACAGCCATTGCTGCCCGCCACGGGCCGGCACGAGCGCGCGAGCAGAGTGGCGGGAGGGCCCTCCACCGAAGTCACAAAGGCGAAAGTCCATCACCTCCCGCGATATACGGAGAAAGTATACCGCAACACAACCCGCATCGGGGCGCGCAGACTGGGTGGCTCATTCGCCTACGGTCTGCGCGTCGTCGACATAGCGCATCGCAGCCGCGACGGGACAGGGCCGGCACCCTGACGTACCGGGGCCACAGCGACTACTCGACCGCGCACAGTAGCAGTGCGGATTCATAGCCGCTCGCAGGCTGAGGACAGGGAGCTCCCACAAGCGAACGAGACGTCGGACCAGGACCCGGAGCAACACCGTCGCTTTGAGCGGCACCACCGGGAATCGGATGAGTCTGACGGCCTGCTAACGGCGCTACGTCGCCGCCGGGCATTGCGTGGGTCGATGATCCGCCTCAGGGGCCGAGTGTATGGCCTTCTCGTGTGCGGTCGGGTCGCGCAGTCGCGCGGCGCGAGTCGTGTGCGAGATGGTGGTGCTCTCTATCTCAGGGACGGCCTGCGCACTCGACAAGCTGCCTAGCTGACCGACTTTCAGCTTCAGCCTCCACTGCACAGAGCATCTACAGCCTCGACGCGTATTCTGCACGTACATTACACGATTTCATAGACGTACCGCTAACTGTATGTATGAGCGAATGATCTTTCAGCACGCAACCGCCTAAACCGCCCTCGATCAGACCTCAACCACGCACTCCGCAACGCGCGAACCGACGCACCACCGGATATCCAAGCCACCCTAGGCAGCCCTTCCACACACCACGCTCCACGCTCTACGCTCCACGCTCTACGCTCTACGTTCTACGCGAAGCGCACCTACCTGCCGGCCCCGGGGCTGCCGGCCCTGCTCGCGCGCACGCTCCCGGGGCGGCTGTCGTCCCAGTCGGAGCCCTCCGCGGCGAGCTCCGCGTGGCCCATCTTGCGCAGCTTCTTGTCGAACCCGCGCGCGCGGTACCGCGACACGATCCGCTCGAGCAGCTCCGACGTCGACACGCCCGGCGTGCGCCGCGTCGGGATGAACTTGCCTGCGCGCGCGGGAGGGGTGCGGAGAATGCGGATGGAGCAGAGGTGCATTAGCATTGGGGCGCGGAGGATGCGTGGGGGAGGGACGCACCTTGGGACTTGCAGTACCCGTACACGTCGTCGATCCCCGCGCTCACGTACGGGTCCTCGTCGTGCGCGACGTAGTCGATCTGGTGCTGAGCACGCGGACGGGAGAGGGGTCAGCATGCGAAAACCGAGGCAGTATGTGCGTACCTAGAGGAGAAAGGACGTCAGCGAATCGGCATCAGAGGGTCGAGGAGAGACGAGAAGCCCGTCTGGGCGGCGGGCACCTCGCAGGCAGATGGCGAGGCCGCGACGCGTCGGAGTCGAGCGCTGTGCGCCGTCACGCTCTGCCTGATAGTTGGGGAGGAAGCCCGAACAGAATCCGCACGAACTCGGGCGTTCGTGAGGGAGTGTGGCTTAGCTTAGTTCGGACATGAGCCATTGTCGCGGAACAAGGCTCATGAATTGTCCGGGATAGCCCTTGGTGGTCGCCCGAAGGCCGGGTAATATCCGGACGTGGGCTCTCGTGCACGTTGGTGCAACAACTACGCCTCGAGAGGACGAAGTCCCGTACAAATGACGGGGCCGTCGCTGGGCCCTGAGACAATGATGCAAAATTTGGCACAAGCCAGAATTCATCCGGACTTGCGCCTGCCAATTTTGTCCGAGCATACAGGCCAAGAGCTAGAAGTTGCGAATCAGGCATCCCCGCATATAACAGGGTCCTGTGCTCTGGATGTGCAATGTTGGTTCGTGGGTTCGCGGCCGATCGGGAAATTTACGGAGGCGCTCGACCCAGATGGACGAAACGACGCGAGGAACGCAGGCAGAAAAAACAGAGTGCAGGACGCAGGAAGCGGAGAACGGGGGCAGAACACACAGCGGACGGCTGCTCACCTTTTGGAGAAACTCTTCCGTGATGACCCACGGCGCCTCGGGGACGACCTCGTCCACCCACCGACATGCCGTACTGCCTCGCACCTGCGTCGCCGACCATCCTTGGCATTGGTGTCAAAGTGCATAGACGCGACTCACCGCTCGGCGTGGTTCTGGACGGCCATGTTCTTGTGCTCCTCGCACTGCTCGTCCGAGTTGACGCCGACGAGGAGGTACACGCCGGGGACGGTGCCCTGGGGCGGGGCGTGGTCGAGCGGGCTCCTTACCACGCTCGCCTCGCCGCCCACGCTCGCCTGCGCGCCCGCGCCAGCCAGGCGCGCGACGGGTATCGGCGGGAAGCTGAGCTTGGCCTGGCGGAGCTGGAGGGCGTGGCCGAAGTGGAAGAGGTCGTACACGCCGTCGGCGTAGATGCGCGCGGGGCGGTCGGGCGGGGGCGCGTTGATGCGGTACGCGCGCGCGGGGTCCTCGCCGGCGACCGCGCGCGCGGCGAACGCCTGGATGTCGGCGGGGGAGAGCTTGGCGGGGTCGAAGGCGTCCCTCGCGACCGCGGCGGGCGCGGGCTCGGCGGGCACGCTGAGCGGGAGGGGGAGCGGCGAGGCGGGCGGCGGGAGCGAGACAGGGGCGGGGGCGGGGGACGCGAGGGCGGGGGCGGTGCTGGTGCTGGCGGAGGAGTCGTAGCCGAAGCCGTAGTCGGAGGCGGGGCCGCCGCGGGGCCCGGGGGTGGTGGTGCTGCTCTCGATGTCGCCGTCGTACGTCGGCGAGTCGGTGCCGCTGTGGTCGTCGTCCGCGGCGAGGACGGCGGCGCGCGCGCGGGGCGGGCCCTTTGCGCGGGGTGCGACGGGGGACGCGGCGGGGGTGCGCGGGGGGCGGGGACGCCGACGGCAGAGGCGGCGTCGTCGGTGGTGGGGTCGTTGTCCTCCTCGGAGGCGTCGTAGGCGGCGGGCGAGTCGAGCGGGCGGTGGTGGGGTGCTGCTGCATGGTGTGGCGTGTGCCGAAGGAACGCTTGGAGTGGAGGGTGCGGCGCTGGGGAAGCTGGGCTGCGCTCGCTGTGTCTGCCATCGCGCGCAGAACAGAGGGCGATACAAAAAGACAGAGCGTCTCCATCGCCCCGCCAGGGAGCGCCCACGTGCGTCGCCCCATTTGGCAGCTCGCCTGCCTCTTCCGGCCACCCCCCGCCTCACCGCCCGCCGTCTGTCTGATCCCTCTTCTGCCCGCCCCCCGCCGCCGTCGCCCCCCGCCGGCCCCGCTCCCGGCGCTGCTGCCCGCCCCCCGCCAACCGGTTGCAGGGTCCTTCGCGGGCGATCTGCGCCATCGATAGGAGATCGTCCCCGCCGCGGCCTCTCGACTCGCCCAATCGCTGTGCGATCGTGCGCTGCCCTGACGACCCCTCGCGAGCACACCACTGCGAATCGATTGTGGCCCAGCACGTAAACGTCGGTTGCAGACGCATCGCCGCGGCTCCGGCACTTGACTGGCACTAGGTAACACTCTTATTCCCGTGTAGCCGTCAGTACGCGGAGTGTGTACTACACAACTGCGCCTACTCAGGTGCGTCGTGCCATCTCTCGTGAACGTCGTCGACTGTTGAATGGCTGGATGTCCATTGTACGGTCCCATCACGGCAACCGCATCTAGGAACCTCGTGCGTCGTCGCATTCGACCGGGGCCCCCGCCGGGTACCATACAACATCGGTTATTGACGCAGAGAGGCTCGCTACAAAGTAAGAGCTGACACACGCCATTCCACCTCAAATTTCGATCTTTTGCATTCATTACAGTCGAGTCCGTAACTCTGCTCCAAGGATTTTCCAGTACATGGACACGGGCCAAGGCCGAAGTGTGCTCGCTTCACTCGCGACGAATACTGACCCTACCTACAGCCAGACACAATTGCTGTGTGCATGTGCCGCAGGTGAGTTCGCTTTGTTCAAGTTCTGTAACCTCGCGGTGTGGTTGCGGATGAATATCCGTGGACGCACTCTTGCTTGGCCCTGGATGAGCGGGTATCGCTCTGGTCCTTTGTTGAGCGGAGGCGCCCATGTATCCGCTTTAGCTCAGTTGGTAGAGCGCGTCACTAGTATCACCGCGATGACGAGGCCGGTTGTTCGAGTCAGCCAAGCGGAAGACTTCTGTTGCTTTTTGTTCCTTCATCTTCCGCATATGAATGCTGAACATCATGGTTGTAGTCCAGGAAGAACTCGATACGCACGCGAACGGAAAATGCATGGCGGAACATTGGTCGTGCCCGTCACACCAACGAAAGATGTCAGTCTGTGGGTTTGTGCTATGCCATCGAGACTACGTGCCAGCAGGACGAGGAAGTCTGGGGTCGACGCATGCGCGGGTTGATGCATACGGACAGTAACATCGGTGTCTTGAGGCTCGTGCTTAAATTCGAGGTTGAGTAGGTGGGCTTGAGGTGGGCAGTCCAGGATGCTGAACATCTTGCATTCAATCAGGTTCGCATGCCTACAGGGACCAGATCGCGGATTTGGGCCCCCCGGCGTAGCTCGAGCTCAAGTGGTTTGCACCCAAGCAGCGCCGAAGCTCTCGCCACGCGCACACCGCCACGGCTGCGCGAACATGCGCAGTTTCCTGTCGAGCTCGCGGTGCACGAGTCTATGTACAATCTGTCTATGTGCACTGCTCGGTTCTGATTTATGACCACAAGACAGCGGCGCTGCACAAGTCGACTGTAAGTACGCGACCACTTCCGAAAACCCAGTCGGGTGCGGACTGCCTGATCCATCCACCCCAAGCCGCGCGAGCGGTCACGGAAGGTTCCAGATATACACGACGGTGATCGGTCTGTGAAGGTCGCGTCTCCCGGTCCACCCTTCCACGGTTGCCGTAGGCGACTCGCTCGTCTGCGACTCGGCAGGCGGGCGACGGACACATAGCAGCACCAGGTCGAGTATACGCACCTCGATCCCTGTTTGGGAGGCAGCTTGATGAACACAGGGCGCTTGAATTGTACAGTGAGAACCAGAAAGACGTCTCATCAGTCTCGGTTGTGCCAGAAAAATCGATCCGACCGAGATTCGAGAGGCAGGAGACAGGATGTAGATACGCCTGAGTACGAGGACGATGGCTATACTTAAAAAAATCGAGACATCAGAAGGCGGCCGCGTCAAAAAGTCCGCCAGACCCTCTCGAAAGGCTTCAACGGTCCTTCAGGCCCCGGAGAGCCCGAACGTGTCCTTGACGTTCACACCGAGCAGCATCGCGCCGGAGAGCCATTCGGGCGCGATGTGGAACGCGTAAAACAGCGCCTTCGCGGTGGGCCCGTTGAGCGAGCCTGGCCCATCGACGTCAGCGAGTCGGTGTAGCTGGACATCGCTGTCAGGCGATACACGGTGGTGATCATCTATGGGCGAAGTCGTGAGAACCTCTTTGTTGAAAGCGCACCGTGAAGACTCACGATGATGCATATCATGCTGCAGATGTATAGCGCGGGTCCGCGCGGTGTCCGTTTAGGACGCGCCGCCAATGCCCAGAGGACCTCACTCAGGCCGAAGAACTGTAGGAACAGCACGATGATCGTTGATGCATACCTGTCGTACACGCAGAACGTCAGACGATCCCGAAACACGTCGACGTTCACAGCGCACCTCGTGTGCTGTACGAGACTGGCTTGGCTCTCGCTCGCAATTCCGTTGTAGTATAGACCGCCGGATACCCCGGCCAGAGCAACCGCCAGAAGCCGAAGCACTAAGGTGGCGATCCCAGTACGCCGGAGCAGGGCACGACGTGCCGGCTCGTCCTCGAAACCTCCTGCTCGACGGTCGGAAGCTTGCTGTAAGACGAGCCGGCATCCCCAAGCGGACCCATCGCCGCGAGCGGCTGCTCCTCCTCCATGCGGGAGGCGGTGCGGCCAACTGGCGGGATTCCGACGGGGAAGGAGGTGCCCTCTGTCGTCTTCATGACGAAGAGCCGCGCGAGGTTGTTGAGGTCCTGCGTCGTGCTCAGGAAGCCCATGCCATACGCGCTCTGCAGCCAACCGACGAAGAACTTTGTGGTGCGGATGTTGGGCTTCTCAGCCTCGGCAGCACGAATGGCGAAGTCGGCAATTCTTGACAAACAAGTCGCATCAGCAGGTTGCAGAGGGTTCGACAGACGTATACTCACCGCTCCACCGAGAATATCACGGTGCCTAAGATCATAAGCGTTCGTGACCGCTTGTTGACCATCCGGTAGATTCCAACTGGAGCGGTGATAGCATAGAGAATTGTAAAGAACAAGGCCGGAGCAAAATCATGAGGAAAAGGAATGCCTCCAATGGGCGAAGGAAACTTGTGATCACCAGAAGACATAGGATGAACGGAGAAAGGGTGATGAAGGTACCAGCCGACAGTGCATGATGTCTCCTTTATACGGTGTGAGTAATGGGGACAAATTTGAGTCGCGGATAGACTGCCTCATTTCGAGTATGCGATACGGAGGCGTGGTATGCAGGCGATCAGCGCCCCTCAGGCTGTCAATATATGCATCGGGGATCGCTCGGGGAGCCTCGGGGAACTGCCACTGCCTGTCACCCACAAGCGCCGCAGCGATGCGGCTAACTGGGCCAGCAGCCCTAGTCCATACACGACGGGAGCATGACTTACCTCAAGGCAGACGGTATCCTGCTTCATTGCACCAATGGCGACCACCATAGCAGCGCCATTGGTAAGTAGAGTGGGCGCAATTCGTATCGCAGCCCGAGGATCGGCATTATCCTAAGTCGCGTCGGAGGTCGCTGCCATTGGTGCTACTAATTGACGCGTGCAGAGCGACAAATGATGCTGTTGCATCGCTATAACTCGGACGCAACTCACTGGGTAATATCATTGACAGAGTCAACGCATCCTGACTGCTGTGCTGTATCGGCGCTTCCAGTGGTGTTCTTGAACGAGAACAGTGTGAACCTGATAGTCAGTGATAGATCTTGAGTACGGATCTGCTGTGAGTCCAACCAACTGATCAACTCCGGCGGTGTGCTTTGAGCCTGCTAGCCCCGTTCAAGCATGCAGGATGACGATCTGCAAACAGTGGCCCCGTGTAATCAGATGCGGCACGAAAGGAGTCTGTGACGTACTTATTAGTACTTCGCCTGCACTGCGTGCCGTATCGCATATGGCCGAATGATGGTTGGTGAAGACGCCAGGTACTGAAACATGCCATCGCCGACAGCTGTCGCGAGAGCGGCTGATGGACTTCTGCGCAAGATCGACTGGACGGCGTTGCAAGACGGATGCCAGCAATCGACCCCTTGGGTGAATGTTCAAACTATCGCCATGAAGATGCGAGGCCAACGCGAAAAGACGCGATAGCCTAAGTAATAGGCCATCGATGGGTGCTCTACAATGATTACCAATGAGTAGTTTGACATCGCATAACAAAAAATCCGCTCGCTCACCGAACCAGCGCCATGCAGATGGGAAGATGGAGCGTCGGGCTGAGCATGCTGGTGTAGAGGAAGATCGTATTTGACCTGCGAAACTGAATCAGTCAGCTCAATGCGATGCAACTGTGAACAGAAACAACACGGAAAACGGGAGAAATCAACGGCAGACCAGGGTATAGAAGTCCCCGCAGCAAATCCAGACAGTACCTTAATTTGTGAACGGGTGTATTGAGCAATGTACAGTACACACGTGTCACGGTACTGCTACAAACACGCGAAGCACGGAAAGCGGAAAGTAGCCTGAGTCACAGACTCGTGCACGCACGCACAGCCATGACAGGAGACCACCGCCGCGAAGCTCTAGATGCGGGCAGACCGCGCATCGTTAGCCTAGCAAGACACAACCTGCACAGCACGAAAACGAGACTCGGGCTTCGGGAGGGAACAGTGGACAGGGGTTACTAATGTAGATGCGTATGATAAGTACCCTCGAAAGCCGTACGGACAATGCAACATGACGGATAACCAAAGCATGGTCGATGCAGAACATAGCGGGTTCCATAGCATGTACAATAAGCAAGCAGACTGCTGCGAAGAGCGTCCCAGCTCGCGCACACTTCGCACTGAGCGCCACGGTCCGTTGCAAGCAAGGAGGGAGAGGGAGAGGATCAAGCGCGCAAAACCGTCCTCCGTTTGCTAGCGCTCAGCCACGCTTTCTTCCTGGATCTGCTTCTCTTCATGTGCGGCCTTCACAACTTGGTGCTGAAGTGGTACCTCCTTGCGCCGATGTCTGTCCTTGTCAGATGCATCCGCTGGCTGGGAGGTTGGTGGCGGCTCTTCATGTTCGGGCCAATTAGCCGGCGCTCGTTCATGTTCCAGCAAGAGCGGTGCATGCGGGGGTACAGCAACAGCAGCCTGCTTACCGAATGAATCACTCTGCGCCGGTGAGGGAGGCGACGTTGACAGCGGCGAGCACGACGGCGCGTACAGCGAGCTCGTGCACGACATCGGCGGCGACGCGCTCCCCGACGAGATCGACGCGAACGGGGACGCCGGGCGCACGGCCCCACTCCCGCCTCCGCTGAGGCGTGGCGGCAGCTGCTGCCTAGAGTGTGGGCGAGAGTTCGGGCGGCTCGGCGGGCCATTGGGCGAGCGCGAGCGCGAGAGCGACGGAGAGAGCGTCTGCCCGTTGCTGAAGCTCTGGATGTGCGCTCGTGGGGTGGACGCAGACGTGATGGTCGAGTTGGAGTGTGTATGTGAGTGCGAGTACGTGACGATCGTCGGGGAGAGCATCGTCGTCTCGTAGCGGGGCGGCGGCGTCAGCACCGCAGGCTGGGCGAGCTTCGAGCTGCGCCGCAGGGAGGGAGGGAGGTGCCTCGGAGCAGATTGTCTCTGTGAGGGCGACATCTGCTGAGGGACAGTCGACATATGTCGTGGCGAGGACGACGGCGAGGACGAGGCGCCGGACGAGACGGAGCTGTCGTAATAGTTCCGCACCTCGAAGGGCTGCTGGAGAGATATAGGAGACACGGGGGACATATTGAAGGCATATGGTACAGCACGGGAGAGCTTCTCCTTCGCGGGTGTTGTTTCGTAGAATATGTTGCCACTGGGGATATATGTGGATGAGGATTGCTGCGGGGACTGGTAGTCCGCTAGGGATACATATGGTGCTCTGTTGTTGTTGGGTATGTAGTTGGGTATAGCCATTTGCGAAAGTCGTTGGGGCAATGACGTCCGCGCTGGGCCCGACAGTGACCGCCGCGGGGAGTCGATGCGCGGTGGAGGCGTGAAGGTATTCTGGCTGCGCTGGGCGTCTACGTATGCGGATGTGTTCATCTCGCTGAGTTGCTGCGCAAGCCGCAAGGCCGGTCGTCCACGTATTCGAGCGAGCATCCTGGGGTCTATACCACCTTCCTGCCTGAGTGTAGACCGCGAGCTAGATGGATCAGGGGCAAATGGTATGGGATCAGTGTGCGTCTGCCTCAGCTGCTGGCGCTCGACGGTCACAGTGGGTTCTCGGTCGTTTCCTCGCTCCTTCTCGCGTCGCCGCTTGGGTGCACCTTCCTCCACGAAAGATTGCACCGAGTGCACATCGTCAGAGTTCGTCATGTCGGACCGGGAGTCATCGTCGGTATACGCATCGCTTGCATTGGATGAAGTCGCATGTGACGGTCGAGAGCGCTCAGGTTGCCGAGCAGGACTCAGTGCAGTGGCGAGCGAGAGGCTTTGCCCAAAGCGGTTCTCGAAAGCGGAACGATCTTCCTCAGGCGCATCAGGTGGCGGGGGACTCGTCCACTTCCCTCGCTTCGGAGCCATGTGCTCGAGCTGATCCATCGGCAGACGGATGGGTACAGTGACAGGAGGCGACGACTTTGGCTGCTGGGGCGGCGAAGACGGACCCGAGGACGCTGTTGGCGGCGAGGAGGGGCTAGACGGGTTTGTATTCGATGGTGAAACCTGGTCGGCAACCGGAAGGCGCGCGGGTCGCATGGGGCTGCTGTTGACGGTATACGGAACTTGTGGCGGAAGGGGGGATAGACGTGGCGGGATGAATAGGCCGTTGTGTGGTAGTGGGTGAGCAAGTTCCTCTTCTTTGCGTTCCTCGCAAAGCTGGGCGAGCGCGACGATGGCGCGCTCGGGCCGAAGAGTGAGGACGCGAGACGCCCGCATGAACTCACCGCGTATCTACACCAATTGTCGTAGTTTAGGCCAAGCACACGTTCAACGACGGGGGGTACATACAGTATAGAGACCATCCCTCGTCACGCATCGCGCGACGTTGTAATCGACCTCAAACGGATCCTGCGATGTGTGAGCATGAAACATTTGTCATCAAGGTACGGGTGTGGACTGACCTCTATACATAGGCGATTGCGTTCTCGAGGACTGCCCTTTTCAAACTGCATGCAATCAGCACCGCGCATATCTCTGCCTCTTAGAACGCCCTACCTCGCTCTCCCAGCCCTTGCTGTCCTTCGTCAACAGGCCAGCACGGATGGATGCTACGCCATGCGTGTACTGGAATTCGCGGGAATAAAACTTGAAGAAATCAATCAGACTGTATGCACATCCGGTTAGCTATGACCTTGTGCGAGATAGCTCAAACTCACAGTTCTGCGACGCTGTCCGTGTTTGACGACTTCCAACGCTGTCGCAATAGCTCGATATCATCAAAGAACCTGCATATAGTCAGTCATGTGCGCAACCGCAAGTCGCACCATACCAACCATATATTATGTCCATTTAGGTGAGTTTCCTCCTGTAGACACCATGAGTAATGCGCAATACGCGATGTGGGCATGCATACCTTAGATATAGGCCGGAGGGGAGGCATGAGTTGCAGATTTGGCAAGACTGGCGGGCTTTTGACATGTACAAGGAAATAGATTACAAGTAGGACGTAGCCATATGATGACAGTGTGCCTTTATAAGGCGAGTTATTTTCCTACATCACGGTCAGCATGTCGTGCCGCACATTAACTGCCACAAGGCTCACCGTCGCTTGCTCCATACCTTGACTGCAGAGTGCGCATATCACGAAGGTCAGTGGCGTGATAAGTAGGCGGCCACAACGACTCACGGAACAGGACCATTGTTCGGACGCGAGGCGGATCAATCATCGCATAGCACATTAACAGACGTGTGTTCTCTAGTGCCAGTCTATTCTCGAATCCATATCGCTGGCGATTCCGTACGGAAGGCCAGGTGCTGGATCGAGGGAAAGCTTCACGATCGGTATTCGCGCGTGAGGCAAGGGCTTGACGTGAAATTTGGTTTCTGAGGAGCCAGTATTGCCATTGTGTTCGCCGGCGGGTGGGCGGGGGTACGTACCTCGCTCGAGGAGATCGCCGACCATGTTCACCAGGTCAGTGGCGGAGAGACGCTCCTCAGAGTCGATGAGACAACAGAGGTCCATGTCTAGGCGGTCGTGAGCCAGGAGAGACAAGGACGCGCACAGACTTTGCGCACCTGAATTTCTAAGACTGAATCCATTCGCAGTACTGCCAAACGACAACAGCCGGCTGTCGGGCTCGATAGTACGGATCAGTCGCTCGAGGAGCTTGCGGACGTCCTCTTTGACGGCGAGTTCCTCGGAGGTTGGCAGTAGCTGGATGACAAAATCGTAGAGACATTGGGAGAACTCTTGAGCGAACCTCTGCCTGGACGCGTGCTTGCGGGGCTGCGGCAGCTGGTTGGGCTGGAGGAAGTGCTCGTGGGGCGATTGGAGGGCGCTGGAGGGCTGTGCGTATGCAGTAGCCATGGAGAGGCCTGCGACGGTGCGCGGTCTGGCGGGGAGCGAGCAAGAAGGGCGGCCTGTGCTGTGGCGGGGGACGCTGTGGCCGGGCGACGCTTGCAGAGAGGGCGAGGTGATGAGCACGCCCGCCTTCCCGCCATATTCTTATCCCATATTTGGAAACCATCCTACCGACGGCATCCCCCGTCACGTGCCGTGGTCAGTACGCGACGCGCTGATCGCCGGGTGGCTGAGTCCGGACACTTCCTCGCCACCAGTGCGGTCCCACTGGCCCTGCGGCTGCGTGTCAAAGCACACTTACGATGCATTCCAGGCCGCTATGTTCAGGAATGCAGAACACAATCATAACGCAGGGCTACGAACGGAAGGAACAGACGAGTCATCGCTGAATGCCAAATAGAGTATGGCATGAGAACACATGCACAGAAGCCGCGAATATGTAGGACAGTTCTGTGCGCTTCAGAACGCGTGCAACAGGACGTCAGAAGGGCTATCCCTTGGCCCAGACGCGCTTTTATCTTTGCGCTCAGCACGAGTATCTTCGCACTTCCGACATGCACTGACTCGCCGCAGAATGTCGCGGACGACTGAAACGCGGCGTCCCAGGCAGCCGGCGGCCCTCTCATCTGTCCTGGGAGCGGTTCAGGTGTTCTCCGCCCACGTCCTGCGAAACACGCCACAGACCAAGTTGCGGTTCGGCGGGGCGCACTCCCGGTGACCAATTCAATCATGGGAACGATCGAGCACACTAATGAGAGCGAACACACGGAGAATGAAGTGATCCATGCGCGCACCACGACCCCAACAGTCAGGAGACTCGGAGGCAGACTTATCGTCAATATGGTAGCAGATCGGGAGCATGCAATGCAAGGCCGTGTGTGAGGAAAAACCGAATCGTCACTTTTGTCTGTATTTCTGCGTCTTTTTCTGATTCTAGCTATTTTCTGTGCGATGTTTATCTTCCCTCGTCAGCGCCTGGAAAGCTCGCTAATCCGATTATTAGCAATACGCCGCGTCTGAGACTGAGTAAACTGACCTGAATGCGGAATCGATACAGGACTTGACCTCCTTGTAACTCACAACCAGGCAGCTTTGTTCGTCCCGAGACACAAGCATAATCCGCTCCTCGCTACCGGCGTCCAGCTGTGCTCATAATTAGTTGCATTCCCCGGGCGTTGATATCGAGCCGCTGCCTCACCTTGTTCAAACACGTCAGGACATGCGGCATATTGACCACAGGATTACCATGCTCGTCCACCTGGTGAAAGACATAGTCACGGAACAGCTTGATGATATACCTGTCCCCCGTCTCAGACCACCTCGGCTCCCGCGCAAACCTGATACCCTACAAGTCAGAACTGCCCACCACATCAACGAGAAACAACTTACTCAGGTCGTTCGTTGATGAACCCGAACTTGCAGAGCAACCTCACGAGACGCGCGTTCTCGAGCTCGCTCATCAGCTCGCTCTCGAGGCGATCGACAGTACTGTGGGGAAGGAAGGGGCGTGGTCAACACGAGGCCGATCGTCCCCACAAAAAACCCCAGGCACGACTCACTTCTGCATCTCATCCATCTCCGCGAGCATCCGCCCGCCGAACATCTCAAACAAATGACCAATTGTCTACAACACGAGCCCGCATCAGCTCCCCGTTCCAGCGACGCAGACAGGCGCTCGACAGGCGAACCTTGTTCGGTGCGGGTTTCGAGACGAGGAAGAGCGCGACCGCCTTCAGCTCCGCGGAGTAGTGCCGCCCGACGTTCTCGACTGCCTTCGCAAAGTTGTTCATCGCCGCCAGGTTGTTCGTGCAGAGCGCAAACACGAGCTTCCCGAACATCATCAAGTCCTCCTGCTGCAGGATTGCGAAATCGGGTGCGCGCGCATCGTACATCAGCACGTCCACCACGCCGCATGAGCTGATCCGGACCCTGCGGCCGCCGATGCCGCGTCAACGCAGTCGGGCGCGCTCGGAGGATGGGGGCGCACCTGTTCTGGCCAGTGACGAGCACCTTCGTCGCGTCAGTGATGCGCATGGAGAGGCCCGTGTCGTGGACCGTCTTGATCGCCCGCGCGATCTGGATCACATATGACCAGATTGTGCTCTCTGCCAGGCGCGGGCTCTGCGTCATCAGCCGGCCGTTCTGGTACTGCGGCGCCTTTGGCTTGATGTGCGCCTCGTACAGCGTGCGCGCGTTCGGGTGGTAGTCGTACACGACGACCAGCGCTGCGAGCAGTGGTGAGAAGAACTGCGGAAGAGAGGCGACGGGTACGTACAGTTGTCGCCAAAGGCACGCGTCGTGAAGGCCTCGCGCACGGCGATAATGTTCGGGTGTCGGATACGGGACCACGCTTCGATCCCGCTGAACGCCGCTTGCTGCATCAAGCGAAAATCTGTAGCAGATCAATCCTTCACTGGGCAGGCCGTCAACCGCACTGTACTCACTCTCGATGCGCCGCAGCGCGTAGGACAATCCGTCCGTAGAATTCGTCGCGCGATACATCGTCGAGTACCATTGCCCAAACTTGCGCCGCTCGCCAGCCGTTGCTTCCAGGGGGAACAGAGAATGGTATCCCTGCAGCTCCTCCGGCAGATTCAGCCCGTGCGCGGGCGAGTTGTACAGCGTTTCTGCGCGTTTCTGCAGCTCCTCGCGCACGGTGTCGGATATGAAGAACCGGTGAGCCAAGTTCTCGGGCCGGGGTTGTGTGTACAGATGGTAATTTAACTGCGAGAAGGGCACGTATCAGAAGGTTGAAAACAGATGGTTGAGATCGGACGCATGGGTCCCAAACGGAAGTAAACGTCGTGTAGATGCTGCGAAGTTATGGCATACTCCACCTCCATGCGAGGAGAGGATGGAAATGACCGGTGACATGGCCTCTCGCCTGTTCACAACCGATGGCTTGCCACTATGAATGTAACGCTCCACCCGAAGCTCGGCCTCCTAGCCCTCCACAATCCGTCACGCCTGGAACAACGTACTCGGAGATAAAATAAGCACCCCCCCGGGACGTATAGACCACGCGTAAGCGCACTCAGTCCCTCCTATCGCTGAGGCTGCACGACTCAGAAATGCCATAGCGGACACTGAACCTCTCCCGGTGGCTAAAACCCATCGAGCAATGGCTAGACATCATATACTTGCATGCGAGTTTGAGATCATCCAACGGTAATCACAGACTGACAACTCACCTGACGAGTGAAAGGAATAGAGCCGGGTGGAGAAAGAGGCCTGAGACCTGTCCGCCGCCTCGGAACCCTTGCTCGCCAGGTAAACTGCACGTGACCTCAGGGACGACGTGCCTTCGCGCGCCCACCGCGAGGGCAGGTAGCACTACACCATGGTCCTAACGCGATCCAGAGAAAGATATATCTCTGCGGTGAAGTACGGCGGGCACGACTTCGGTGTCGCAGAGCATGTAGCAGCAACTCCGCTGACCTCTAGTCTGCTGGCCACTAGACAGCCACTGTTCGGGCCCGACGAAGTCTGAACACGGAACAATAGTCTGCGCAGAGACCTGATGTCATCCACGCAGAAACCGGAGGTCGTATATAGGACGTCTGGCCAATTTTAGCTGAGCACCAAGACTCAGCTTTGCGATCTGAGGATCAAACATCGTAGCCCTGCGATGAGACCCTCGGCACAAGAGAGGAAAGAACACAATGAAACAGAATAACTTGACGTAGGACGCACCGGCTGCTGAGCAAAGGTAAACTGAGAAGAGTACAGCGGATCCCCATCGAAGCCCATCATCGCAGGATCGTTTGCGTACGGGTTCGCCATCTGGTGGACGTGAGGCACAGAACCTGGCGCGCGACGGAAGGCTCACGCTATGGGAACCATCGCTGAAGTTGTCGCCGTTCGTGCCGTTGTACGCGAACGGGTCGAAGAGGTCGTCTTGCTCCTGGTAGTCGAACTGGTGGTCCGGCGGCAATTCGGGCGATGAACTGCAGCATCGTGAGGGTGTGCCGATAGACGAATCGCGGAAGACGTACGGGGCTATCGAGAACTGCGACGGGACCGCGTGAACAGGCACAGGGCTCTCCGGGGAGACGGTCTTTGGGACGAATACAGGTGCGTTAACAGCCTGGGCCGGGAGCGCTGCACTCGGGACAGGGGAATCAGGTGGTCTGGGGAGAGTGAGCACACAGACACACTGAGCGGAGACACACGCTTACACAGGCGAAGAATCGTCGCGCTGGAAGTGGATGAGTGCGGTGTGGCTCACAGCGCGGGGAGGCACGCACGGCAGGAGGATGGTAATAGATACAGCCTTTGTCTTGGAATTTACAGGATCTGCGAGTCGTTCGAGACGGCCTGCGAGGTGTCCGAAAGCAATACGTACCCATAAATGAGAATATTTCTACACTGCCGCTGGGTCGAGTCTGTGCGGGGGTGAGTCAAGGGCTCCGAGGGCAGTGCAGGAAACATACCCTTCTTAGAGGCCGACCGTGGGCTCGGTGGGTCCTGAGTGGAAGGAGCGACTATCTTGACGGCGGCAGAGGAGGGCCTGGAGAAGAAGGCCATGTCACCCTGAGCCATCCGGGGCCAGGTGGTGGTCAGGACTCAGAGCAACTTTGACCAAACGACCTGTTCGCGATTATCCTGCGCGCATTCGCACGTGCCGCTCACACACAGCCAAACAGACGCCCACAACTCGATGGCTGAGCGCTGAGCGGGGAGCACACTGCACGCCTCGTCTCTGACCACCATGACCACGCTCGCTAGGGATGCTGCGGCCTTCAAGTCTGCCCTTAGCAGGCAGGACTACTCCTCCTGGCACTCCCAGCCGCCACCACCCCATTCTGCACTACCACCACCACCACCACCGATACTAGCGCCCCCCGCCGACGCCGCCGACACCGTCGAACCGCCGCACAAGAAGAAGAAGCGGCCAAAGTCGAGCACGTCTCTCCCGCTTGACTCGCCTGTCATGATCGCGCAGCTGACCTGCGAGCGCAGATGTTGTCTATTCGCAGCCTGCGGACACGGGCACGGGCACGAACGTCAACACGCAGCTCGTGTATCTTGTTAACCACCTCAAGTCCAATGGCAACCCCATGCGACTGCAAGACCTGGCCATCATTACGAACATCCCCGTCGACACTACTCCTGCGCTCCTAGAGAAGTTCCGGGCACACGACCGCGTCGTACATGATCAACGGACGGACCTATATTCCTACCGCGTGCGTATGCTCGATCTATTCGCCATTACTGACCCTTACTCGTCTCGCTAGCATGACTTCAATGTACGAAATAAAGCCGCGCTCCTCACAGAAATACAGCGACAAACACGAAAGGGAGGCGGATTATCCGTGCGGACGCTGAAGGAGAGCTGGAAGGAGGCGCCACAAGCGGTTGAGGAGCTCGAGAAGGAGGGTGAGGTCTATGTCACACGGACATTGAAAGACGGGCAGATGCGGATGGTGTTCTGGAACGAAATCAAGCCCGACGAGGAGAGTGGGGGCATGGCGGTCGAGAAAGGTACGTTCGGAATCCTCGACCGGCTTAATAACATCCTGAAATTTACAACCCAGAATTCAACGACCTGTGGCATTCGCTCACCGTCCCGAACGACGTCGACCTTCTCAAGCAGCTCGCGTCGGAAGGCCTGCAAGCGACCGCGGCTGAGGCGATTGTCCCGAAAGGACCGGCAGGGAGGAAGAAGGGGAAGAAATCGGCGGCGCGGCAGCGGCAGGTACGCATCACGAACACGCATTTGAAGGGGCAGATCGACCTCTCGCGAGACTACGTCGCACCTGCGGCGGGGAAGTGAGGTGCGAGGCCGCCTCGAGGTCTTCATTCATCATTGGGCGGAGGTTATCTGTGCACCTGCCGCGTATCATCATGACCGGTTGCTTGCATTGGACGGACTCAGCGTGGCTTATTACATACATCCATCGGTAGACGTGCTGCTTCTGTACATATCTACGCATGTCGTCTTCTCGTAATACAAAGAGCTTGTACACTAGTCATAGGGTTCGTTACTCCTCGTGTTGGTCTGACCTCTGTATTCGGTACTCTTGAGCTTCTACTCAGACGTTCATGACGCAAATCAGCTTCCTAGCTTAGTGTAACAGGCAACGATGCTGGCTGTCAGGGAGAGTGTGCGAGTACTGGATCATCGTGTTAAGCGAGAAGAGGGTTAACGTGTCCTCGAGGTAAGCCGGTCAATAAATTTATGATAAAGGGCCTTGCTGTTTGAGATTGTTCACGCCGTTTTGCAAGGAGTGACACTAGTGAATGAATTGCAGTGAGTACGTTACAATGCATATGATACTAGCATGTGCGTGCAGTCATTTCAAACCTCTGCGCGTCAAGCTGTTCATGTAGAGCTCGAGGCTAGGCAAGTACTGCGTACCCAAGTTCGCGAAACGTTATTCGCCCACCGAGTGCGGCGTTACATCGCTGAAGCGGTCCGCGTCCTGTGGTGAGTGAACGAGTGTTCTTCGTAACTCAAGCCTAGACTGACAATGGCTGTCCTCAGCCTGCGTTGGCGGTACAAGATACATGATACACTTGACAGCAAGGTGATTTACAGATCAGCAAGGTACGTAGGTGAGTCCATGGTCCATACGTACTCCAGTTCGTCATCGCCGGCGCGAACCTTTCTCCTCATCAATCGATTGGCTTCTGTGCGAACACACCGAGATCGGTATATCCAAATCGAGCTGTCGGGCCCAGTACCCCCAGGATGTCCGCCAAGTTCCCATATCGTATGTCTGTTGCTGCGGGCGGTGCGCCTCATTCTTGCTGCGCGAAAGGGTTTGCAATCTCCTCGAACCCGTCCACAGGGCTGAGGAGGGTGATGGTTGGTCCACGGAGCACGACGAGGCCGAGTTTACGCGTCGATGGTTGAGACTCTGATTCTGTTGATATACTGCTTTAGGACATACAAAGAGAATAAATTTCTCTCCCTGACCTGTCTGTAGATTTTCTTCTACCTCATCGAGCACGAGATTCAGTAGTTGGTCAAAGCCCTTGAGCACACCAGTCACTGGTAACGGTGAGCACAGGCATCCTGATAGCTTGCGCAGATGTTACCTTCTCTGCCACCCGTAAACTTGACTCGTATCCTTTCGTTTGCATACTTGGACAGATCGAGGATAGCCTCACGTTTCGGCTTGTCCATCGTTGGCTGAGCTCTGCGAGCGCAAAGCACGCATACATCAGTCGAGCACTCAAGCGAGTGTTCAAAGGACGTACTGTGAACCGCGACCTCTGTTTGACGAGCCTGCACCTCGCGCGCCGCCCCTCGCTGCGCCACGACCCTAGCACCAAGGACATGAGCTGAGAGAACAAAGACGAGACAAAGACCGACCACATACCCTGTCGGCCATAGTCTTCAATTGAGAGTGCTACACGAATAAAGAGTAGGAAAGCGCGTCGGGTCCAAGCGAGTGCACGGGGTGTATGCGGGTCGCGCGGGGCAACCTGAGCATTGCGAAGCAACAATGAAGGGTCAGCTTGGGCCACGGAGAGAACAAAGAGGGCCTGCCTTGTTGTGGTAGGCGAGAGCGGCTCGTGTTGATAGCTGGATGGAGAAGGTGGCTTTGAAAATCCGACGCCGCGCGTGCGGATGCAGCCAGCCCACCCGAGCGCATCTCGTCTCCTTCCTCCATCCCGCACGAGCCGCCACTCTCCTCGTGCCCAACAACCCACCACGGTCCTTCAAAATCCCTTCACCCTTCTCTCTTCTCGCCACACGCCGTCTCCCGAGCGCGACTTACGACCATGAACGCTAGCGAACTCCTCGCGAATACCCTATCTGCCGGTGCGCACTCGACCCTTTCTCCTCTCTCCGCGTCCTCCGCCGTAAAACTCACTGCTACGATGTCCTCGTATGCGCACAGATGCACCTACGCGTCAGGATGCGACCGCAAAGCTCGAGGCCGCGTCCCAGGAGAACTATGTCAGTGTCGCCCGTTCCGCACATCCTCTCCCCTTCTGACTCATGCGTCCGCGATGAACAGCCCGCGTACATGATGATGCTCTCCACCGAGCTCGTCAACGAAAGCTCGCCCGCACACGTGAGGAACGCGGCTGGTCTCGCTCTTAAGAATGCTCTGACCGCCCGAGTAAGTGATGAGATCATCCCGTCTCCTCTCGCCCTCCGGCCTAACCCCCGACCCAGGAAAGCGCACGACAACTAGACTACTCTGGCCGATGGCTCGCGCTCGACGAGAGCACGCGCAACAAGGTAAAGCAAGATGGCATGATGGCCCTCGGCTCGACCACCACGAAAATCGGCACCGTCGCCGCCCAGGTCGTCTCTGCCATCGCGTCCGTCGAGCTCCCGCAGGGCCAGTGGTCCGAGCTGATCGAGATTCTCCTCGGCTTCGTGAACAACCAGTCCAACACGAACATGCGCATCGCAACGCTCCAGGCGATTGGCTTCATCTGCGAGACCATTGTGAGTGTGTTGGTAGCAGCCACGGACGCCACATGTTGACTCTGCGCGCCAGAAACCTGAGATCCTGGCAATGCGCTCGAACGAGATCCTTACGGCTGTCATCCACGGTGCGCGTAAAGAGGAGCCGTCTGCAGATGTTCAATTGGCGGCCATCACCTCTTTGTTGAACTCTCTGGAGTTCGTACGCGAGAACTTTGAGCGTGAGGTGAGAGCAGACTTATATGCTGTGTCTATCACTGCTGACAACGGCGCAGGGCGAGCGTAATTATATCATGCAAGTTGTCTGCGAGGCGACACAATGCAACTCCGTACCCGTCCAAGTCGGCGCGTTCGAGTGTCTTGTGAAGATCATGACCCTCTACTACGAGAAAATGAGCTTCTACATGGAGCGTGCTCTGTTCGGCGTAAGTCGTGATTCACAATCGCCACACCAATTCGTTCCCCTCATTCTGTTCATTCAGCTTACTGTGATGGGCATGAAACACACGGAGGAAACCATCGCCCTGCAGGCTGTCGAGTTTTGGTCGACTGTCTGCGAGATCGAGACGGATTTGGCATGGGAAGCCCAAGAGGTGCGTCTCCGAGATTACCGGAATAGCCAAATACCGACCACGTACGGGGATAGGCCTCCGAATACGGCGAGCTGCCCGAAAACGAAAGCAAGTTCTTCGCGAAGATCGCGCTGCCCGAGATTGTGCCCGTACTACTCCAGCTCCTCACGCGCCAGGAGGAGGACGCAGAGGAAGATGAGTGGAACATCTCCATGGCGGCAGGGACGTGCCTGGGCCTGCTCGCGCAGGCCGTCACGGACACGATTGTCCCCGCCGTCATCCCATTCATCGAGGCAAACATCAAGGCACAGGACTGGCACCACCGCGAGGCAGCCGTTATGGCGTTCGGCTCAATCCTCGAGGGCCCTGACCCAACCGTGCTCACGCCCCTCGTCAACCAGGCGCTGCCGATCCTGATCGACATGATGAATGACCAGAACCTGCACGTCAAGGACACGGATGCGTGGACGCTTGGCCGGATATGCGATCTGTTGATCAACACAATCAAACCGGACGTACACCTCCATCCGCTCGTGTCTGCGCTCGTCAACAGCCTGCAGGATAACCCACGCATCGTCGCGAACTGCTGCTGGGCGTTGATGAACCTTGCGGACCAGCTAGGCTACAGCGAGGGCGACGACCAATCGGCGGCGAACACTAACCCGTTGTCGCCGTACGTCGACGGCATCGTGCAGGCACTTTTGCATGTGACTGAGACGTGAGTACGCATATATGCTTTGCGACGACGCATCTCATGGTGCGCGAACAGTGCCAGCAACGAAGGCAACTACCGTACCGCTGCGTACGAGGCGATCACATCCTACGTTACGCACTCGTCCGCGGATACCATCCCCGTTGTTCAGAACACGGTGGTTGCTATCCTTGCGCGGATGGAGCAGTTGCTTGCCATGCAAGTGAGTCAACCTAAGGTCAATGAGGCTCTGCGGACTGGAGCTTACCCTTGTCCAGAATCAGATCGTCGGCGTCGATGACCGCAACAACTGGAACGACCTGCAGAGCAACTTCTGCAGCGTCATCATCGTGCGTATACGAAGTTCATCGTATGTTCTGGTGACTAAATGCGCCTGCTTGGAGTAGAGTGTTACGCGCAAATTGGGCGAGGGCATCCAACCACTGGCTGACCGCATCATGACCCTCATCCTGCAGCTCATGTCTGCAGCAGGAAAGACCTCGACCATTCTCGAGGACGCCTTCCTCGTCGTCGGCTCGCTCGCAGCCTCCCTGGAGCAGGGCTTCTCGCCATACATCCAGGCGTTCCTCCCCTTTCTCTACCCCGCGCTCAAGGCCTTCGACGACACCCAGCTGTGCACAGTCGCTGTCGGCGTTATCGGCGATATCTGTCGTGCGCTCGGCGAGCACAGCGCGCAGTACTCGAACGCGTTCATGGGGGTGCTGCTGGAGGATCTGTCGAGCGAGGTTCTGAACCGCGACGTGAAGGTGTCGATCTTGTCGTGCTTTGGGGACATCGCGCTGGCGATTGGGCCTGCGTTCGAGCCGTATATGCAGACGACAATGGGCGTGCTGCGGCAAGCTGGGGCGGTGCAACCAAACCCGGTAGGTGTATGTCATGCTCTGGGTGATGTGCCGTGCTCAACATCGATTGCAGCTCGACTTGGACATGGTTGAGTACGTCGCATCTCTGCGGGAAGGTATCCTCGAGGCATACACTGGTATCGTCACGGGCATCAAAAACACGGAGAAGTGTACGTCGTTATCTCTTGTTTCTCATCAGAGTCGACACAACTCATTGTCGCTTGCTTAGCCACGCTGCTCCTGCCTCACATTCCGCATATACTCGAGCTCATTCAAAAGTGCATGGCGGACAGCGAGCGGACGGACTCTGTCGTGAAGTTGTCTTTCGGCCTCGTCGGTGATCTCGCAGACACCTTCCCTGATGGCCAGATCAAGCAGCTTCTGATCGCGGAGTGGCTATGAACGAGCTGCGTGCGAAGGGTCGTTACCCACAAGACGTGAAGAAGACTCTGCGCTGGGCACGCGAGGTTGGTTGACTATATCCCGTGTTACCACCCATATCTGACATTTTGTTATAGATGGTCAAGCGGGCCACTGCATAGATATCCTGATGAGCTGCGTCGACGGGCTCGACAGTCGTGTTTCTCGTTTTGTTTTCTTCGTTCAATAATCTCGATCCATCTCCTACGTCTCATGTCTCGCACTCAGCATCTCGCCTCTGAAGGAGGCACGTCATCCGCATGCACTGCACAGTAGAGCGGGCGCCCCATCGCGGGGCCCGCCACTCATGTCTATAGGACTATTGGCTTCTACACCGTCGACGAACACCTGTTTTCCACCATTGTATCCCTGGTCCCATCCGTCCAATCTCATCGTCTGCCTCTCCCCGCCCTCGCCCTCGCCCACTTTCGCTCGTCCGGTGCTGCATCCTATGTTTTCAATAATGTCGCTGAGTCTGGACCGGAGTAGCTCCGAGTCTCCTAATGCCGTGGTTTCCTGAAGGGAAAGATATCACTCGCGTAGTACGATTATGCTTGTTGCATATGCTGGTCTGTTGAAATCGTTACACCCATGTATTCAATGCAAGATAAACTCGAACTCCACTCTGATGACTTGCTGCTTGCAGATCATAGCCTACGCAAATTTTGCAACTTCAGGGCTTCAGTATTCGTTTCCGAAGAACTCCCCGTTGGCAAACCTGTACGCAGACCCACGCAGTGTGCGCGCACGATCAGCCTGACGGATTCGACTTGGGCGTGCTACTACTTATACTAGTTCGAAGCCCGCGGCTGCCTCACCTTGACTTCGCCACACACGCGCTCTCACCTCGGCCTCTCAACTACAAGAGGGATTCGCCAGCCTACTCGTGACAAATGTTTCGAGCGGACATCACTTACGTGAGGCTCCCACTGCTGTGTTCGTTCTCAGAGTGGCGCAGTTGCAACCGAGCCAACTTATTGGCTGGACAACAACTCGACACCCAACTTGGCAAGTCGGGCACAGCCAACCATCATAATGTTCACAACCATCGACGGTCGCGACGTATCCTCGGGTGACCGCCGAACATACAACGTGATGGTTACTATAAGTCGTCGATGCTCGTCAGTCAGAGGCAGAAAGGGCCCATCTGCACTGCGGTCCACGCCGTTGAACCTTGTGCAACGTATCGGATCCTACACCGCTTCGGGGTGCGTCGTGTTGAGCCACTATTTCCCGTGTATAGCATAGACATGGAGTACAGGCACGAAACAGCATTCATCCAATGGTCGCTCTGCGCGCTTCAAAGCCACTGGTAGCACGCTCGTCTGGCACTGCTGCTGCGGTCGGCACTGTTGCGGCCATGGCAGTAGTAGTAGGATAGGCGTCCGCTTCGAGACATGGTCTCATGCGGCCTTTGGGGTGACGCCGTTGGCTGGCCGGTATTCGACGCTGCGGCGCTTACGACTGTTACTTGCGGTCACAGCAGGTCTTCTAGCGATCCTCGCATCGACAGGGGGCGGTGATGGGCGCACTCCACACCTCTACTTTGTCCGGTCGAATCGTGCCTTGAGCCAGAGAAGATGGCTGAGCATTCGTCTGTTCACGACTCGCTGTTCACGTATAAAAGGGCCTTGATGCATCGTAGACCACCCTCATCACCCTTTCTCCGTCTGTATCATGCCTATTGGTGATCATCCCTTTCCTTCGCCCATTGGTGGCATTCCTTTTCCTCATGATTTCGCCCCCGCCTTATTATTTACGATTCTCTATGCCATCGTCGTCCCAGTTGGAATCTACCGACTGATCTCCAAACGGTCACGGACACTTGCCATCGCCGGCACCGTGGTATTCATGATAGAGCGGTGAGTGTACTCTACTCGACTCTAATATTTCGCAGTCACTGACTCACGCCTTCTAAGTGTCGCTGACTTTGCCATCCGTGCTGCTGAAGCCGAGAAGCCCAGCATTCGCACCGGAGTTTTCTTCGTGTCGTGGCTGCAAAGCGCCTATGCCATGGGTTTCCTCAGTATAACGGGGGACCTCGGTAACATTGCGCGGCTGTTCGTCATGAAGACGACAGAGGGAACTCCCTTCACCGTCCAAATTCCACCGGCTGAATGTGCACCTCGTATGGAGGAAGAACAGCCACTCACGACGCCGATGGACCCTTTCAGGGATGCTAGTTCGTCGTACTCTCAAGTGCCAACCGCCGAGGAGGATGTCTTCGAAGACGAACCGAGGATTCGCGTTTGGTTGAAACGTATCGGACTCGCGTGCATATTGGTCCGAATACTAGCCATCGGCACGGCCGTCGTATCCGGCGGTGCGTTCTATATGGGTGTCGTGAGTGTGGTGCAGGCCAACATCGTGCAGCAAACGAGGTGTGTCGTAGAGATTCACCGATATTCATTGTCTGACGGGTTCGATGTATCGCAGGTATGCCTCGTCGATCATCGTACTGTTCCTGCAAATGCTCGCTTTGGGTGAGGTTGTTTGGGCGTTGTTGACGCGCCCGAAGCGAACACCTCGTCGGCCTGCGCTATACCTCTGCGCCATGATAAGTGTCATCGTGAGTGCCCATGTTGCCGCCGCGAAGCAGATGCTCATGCTTACGATCCCTCTCGCCATCGGGGATAGATGGTCACCACTGTGTACCGACTGGCAGCGATGATGAGCTTCACCACCTCGCTAACGTCGATGGGGCCAGGCTCGCTCAACGGTCCCACGGCGAAAGCGCTGTTCTACACGTTCCACGTCGCACCCGAATGGGTTTCGAGCACGATGCTGCTTGTTGTCAACGTCAGGGACATGTATGGGGTCAATGGGAAGGGCCACTGATACCTTCCCAGGAGATCTAGTACGATGCAGTAGGGGTATGATGATTGAATCACTTTTGTGCTGCAATTGGCGAGGATATGTTACAGTACTAGTTGCGGACGTTTGATGCGGGTTCTTCTGATACACCTATGTCTAATAGCTCACGACGGACTTCATACTTATATCTATATTCCGGTTACCTTTTGACACGTTACTTGCATGACAGCTTGACCACCTGTGCTCGGCCAGCCGACCCGCACTGCCAATTGCCACGAGTTGGAGACTCAGCGCAGCCTCAGCCTGGGTAGGAAATCTCTTGTCCCCTCTGTGTTGTCGTGATTGTCGTAATTGTCACTCACCTTGGCAGATCCCCACTGGCATACAACGGATCGAGCTGCTATGTGCGGCGATGCTAACAGCTAGATTCCTGGTATAGGTCCAGATGTGCCTTATGATTGAGGCTGGACTCGAGGTGGCATCCACACAGCACACGCCTATGGGACCCCGTCATCCACGACCGACCCTTAGCTATGAGCCTTTTGGCTGTAGCCATGCTGGGCATGTTGGCTCACCCAGTTTTCGTGTGGGTGCTTTCTAAGTGCTTGTTTGGGGGTGTAGAGAATCGCTGACATGCATGACCACGCACCTTGTTGCGTATATAGGTCTTTTCTTATAGCCTTCCTTTGCGGCGCACCGAGATCAGTAACGGCATTCAAGATTAGCCGCACTATCGCACGAGCCATAGCGGACGAATTGGCCTCACAGCTCAACACTACCAGCATAACAGTCTTGCGGCCGGCCACCGCCCGCGTCCTCTGGGTCGACTATAGAAGGTGGGGTTCCCGCGCCGCCGCCAGACCAAACTACTGGATTGCCCAAACAGGGGCTGTAGTGTCTCCTGAGCATCCTCAACCTACTAGTTGGGTACGCTTACTAGTACTTCGCCGACCAGTAAATGTTCCGCCCTCCCCCACGTATCAACGTAGGGCATGCCAATGAGCCCGGTGGCCGTCGGACTCCGAGGTCGGCTCTGGTTCAGTGTATGACTCGCCCGAGAGGGGGTCCAGCCACAAAGTGGTTCTGCCGAGGCGCACTTCAATGGCTGTTTAAGGCTGCTTCACAGTCACACAACCCGGGCAAGGGGAAGCTGGCGCACGGTTCAGCGGGCGGAGATTTGAAGTGACCGGAGCCAGGCATATGTGAAGAAGCTCCCTGGCAAAGTCACAGCAGCATGGCGTGGGCAACGGCAAGGAGAAACAGCAGGATACAGGCGCAGGTGCACATACCAGGGTACTGGATGGATTCGTGCCGAACATGTTTACATGTGCCTCGAGCAGCACTGCATGTGTTCGTTGGACTACGATTCGCAGCATGGCGCCGCTGTTTCGTACGCCGAAGGTATGTATTTGATTCCGAATTGAAGTATGTCGATGCTACGTCGAACATATTAAACGTGAATGACTGTATAGGGCAGGGTAACTTCCATATGAGACTCGGACGATAACGGTAAGAGGGCACGACTCCCCGCTGCGGTCTGACCTTAAACTGCTGAACGTAAGAGCTGCACGTTATGGCACGCAGAGAGCATCGTGACGTAGTACGGAGCAAACCTCTGCCTGTTACAGTGCTACTCACACAAGGGATATGTGCGAAGCTGTAACATCGGCGCGTGCGGTTTCCGCGGTTCATCGATGATATCTTTTGGACGGTTTCCGCACATTCTTTCTGACGGGTGGAAGGAGGAGACCTAGTGAGCGGGGTCAATGGGACTGCGACGCTCAATTTCCAAGACTAACGCTACCTTCTGTGTGGCCAGATATGCATTCAATTGGCTATGTTCTGAGGCTTAGAGCCATTGTAATACTCTAATCGGACTCGCCACAATCGAATTTGAATACCCAAAGCCTGTGTCAAAACATCGCTATGAGTCTGAATTGTACGCGGATCGAATCGAGTAGGCTAGTTATACGAGACCCAGGAAGGCGAAGCCTGTGCTATTACAAAGCCTTGAATATACAGTCTTGTCATGTTTCATTGTCTGTGTCGTCGAGTACTTACCAGTGCACGATAAACAACTACTTCAACACTCACTGCCTCGATGTCGACGTCTGACACGAGAAATCATATCTTGCCGTATGTTGCTTCGGACAGGAGCATCAATATCGCATTGGACTTCTAGTCGGTTGTTATGATGTGCTTGTTCGTAGTAGTCTCTGTTGCGTGCTAAAGAAGTCGGCAAGCGTCGCAACCTCGATGGCCTATAAAAATGCATTCAATGTACACGAAGTCAGACATGCCAACTTCACTCACTAGCTTTGCAATAAAGGTTCGTGAGCCTTCCTAGTCGGAGACCTCTCGAAAGTATGGGACCAGGGCGGTTCGCTACGACGCGATGTCCGCATTGGGATGTGCCCGACGTCGCTGCCTCGTGTACGGTTTCTTTGACAGCGCGTCCGGTCTTGATATGGTTGCGGGTGTCGGGTGTCGGGTAACATGCACGCATAGCGTTCTCGGCGACCGCCGTGAGGGGGAAACAATAAGCTGCTCTGATTCCGACGTGCGCGCTCAACGTCTCCGCTCTCACTGGGTGCTGATTTGCGGCGTTGCGCAGTAAACTAGCCATGCATGCTGAGGGTTTCCTGTACTGAACTGTGGGTATGCATAAAGGTGCATATGCACTGAATTAGTTGGTGACTCGCCGAGGAGGAGGCCGAGGAGGAGGAGGATGGCGGATGCTTGTGATTGCGGCACGTGTCGCGTGACTGCCATTTACGCGTACTCGGGGGACGGGCGCCTAGAAGGGACAGTCGCCCGCCATTCCCACTCTCCCTCATTCAAGTTCCTCTTTCTTCTCTCCACAATGTCCTCACAAGCCTTGCCTGTTATACCCCTTACTTACCCTCTTCTTCTTCTCCCAACTGCACGCATCACAATCCCCGTCAACAATGCTGCCGGCGAACTCCTCCTCGAACTCGTCCAGGAGGTCGACACCCCACCAGTCGTGGCTGCTGTTCCTGTCCCCTCGGCCGATGCATCGACGTTGCATGACTGGGGAACGGCAGCGCGCATTGTCCGCGTCGTCCGACCCCCGCGGTCGCTCGCTCGCGATACCCATCGGCCGTACTTACTTACCCTCCAGGGCCTCGCCCGTGTACACCTCCCAGAGGCGGACAGCCCGCGAGAGAGGATCGACGGACTTGCGGAACGCGTCGTAGAGTATCCGAACGCAGAGGGTACTCCCTCCGCAGAACTCGCGGCCACGTTCAAAGCGGCCGCGATCAAGCTGCTCGACCGCCTCGCCCGCGATGCGCCCAATGACTCCAAGCGCGACTTCTATGTCAAGCTATCCAACATGGTCGACGAAGTGACCGCCCAGCGTGCCCCCTGGCTCGCTGACATGCTCGTCTCGAGCCTCAACGCAGAATACGCGGACAAAATCGGTGCGTTCCGTTCCGTCCACCCTCACAGCAAGCACACCGGAGTCTCCGAGTGCGGGTTACCATCTATGGTACCGGCGGACGAGTGTGCAGTTTCGACGCCTGATCGGGGAACATACCTGCAATGACCAACTCTCCGTCGGTCATTGCACTCGCGCGTGAGCCTACCATTGCCAAAGTAAACTTCGCAGCTGTTGTAGGCAGCCCACGCGCGGTATATTTGGAGGGGGTATGTCATCCGGCATCTCACGCAGAAGTTCCTCGATATCATTGCTGTGCCTCACCTTCCCTCCATCCGCGCGCGCACTAACGCCGTCCGCACCAGACTTCCTGTCCGCGGTTCGCCCGGATGACCGCCTCAAGCGCGCGACGGCGATCTTCGTCAAGCAGACGTCCATCTCCGAGGTTAGCAAGAAGATCGCGCAGTCCGTCGACGAGAGTCTGTCCAAGCAACAGAAGGAGTTCTTCCTCCGACAGCAGCTCGCCGCCATCCAGCGCGAGCTCCGGAACCTCAACCGGTCCGCGCTGCCCCTTGCGCGCCCGGGCACACCGGACGCTGTGGAGAGTAAAGGTCCGAACGCGCCGGTGTCGGAGCTGGACGACGAGGAGCAAGCGGAGGCGGACGAGATGTCTGTCATGCGCGCGAAGGTCGAGGCGATGGCGAAGGAGAGCGAGGAGCGCAAGACGGCCGTGCGAGAGTGGAGGCGGCTCAGACGGATTCCGGCCACCAGTGTCGAGCACGGTGTCATCCGCAACTACGTATGTGCTCGTTTCATATGTCCTTCCCCAGTATCCTGACTCGTTTCTCGTTCACAGCTTGAATGGCTCACTGCAGTCCCCTGGCCCGCTTCCGCGCGCGAGGCGCAGTCAAACGCCTCCCTCGAGGCCCTGCGCGACCGTAGCTTCTTGACCAAAGCGCGGGCGCAACTCGACGCGGATCACTACGGCCTGGAGAAGATCAAGAAACGCTTGATCGAGTATCTGGCGGTCGTGCGGCTCAAGGAACTGCAAGCGGAGAAGGAGAGTCAGTTGACTGTGCTCGAGGGAGAGAAGCAAGCTGCGCAGGCGCAGCAAGAGATTTCAGGGGAGGCTAAGGCAGAGACGCAGGGAAGGGACGAGAGCAAGTCGCTTATTCCCATACCGAAGGCCTTGCCAGCTCCCGTTTCGAGGCCGTTGAGGAAGAAGAACGTAAAGGGCCCTATCCTACTGTAAGTCACTCCTGTGTAAACTCTCTGTCTGTAATATTCAGCTCATGTGACACGCAGTTTTGTCGGCCCTCCTGGTACGGGTAAGACCTCGCTCGGGCAGTCCATCGCCCGCGCGCTTGACCGGCCGTTCCAGCGGATCTCGCTGGGCGGTGTGCGCGACGAGGGCGAAATCCGCGGGCACAGACGGACGTACGTTGCCAGTGGCCCGGGAAACATCGTGCAGGCTCTGAGGAAAGCTGGCCGGCCTGATCCTGTGATCCTATTGTGAGTACGTGCGTTGGGCGAGGGCGGGGGGAGGCTGATGAGGCCGGTGCAGGGACGAGATTGATAAGATCTCGCACGGGAACTTCCATGGGGATCCTGCGGCTGCGCTGCTGGAGGTGTTGGATCCTGAACAGAACCATTCGTTCCATGTGAGTGTACCGTCTGTGCGTGCTGCGTGCGTCGCTCATGGGCGGACAGGACCATTATATCAATGTACCTGTCGATTTGAGCCAGGTGCTCTTCATATGTACTTCAAACACACTAGAGACGATCGCAGCGCCTTTGTTGGATCGCTGCGAGATTGTACATTTGTCTGGTATGTCCGATCCGACGATGCTTGAGTCTTGCTCACCAGCACTTTAGGCTATACTTATGACGAGAAGATGCATATCGCTCGCCGCTTCCTTCTCCCGAAGCAGCTGCAGGCGAATGGCCTGACTGCAGATCACCTCAGCATCAGCGACTCTGCGCTTACGCACATAGCGACGCATTACACTCGCGAAGCTGGTGTGCGCTCCTTAGAGCGAGCCATCAGCGCCGTCGTCCGGCATAAGGCTGTCGAATGGGCTGAGTACTGCGACAGCGTCGGCGCCGACCCGAACGCGCTCCTCTCGGACGTGGCCACCCGACAGGCCTCTGGCAGTCCCACAGATGCAGGGTACAGGGCAGCCGTCGAGGAGCACGAGCTCGAGAAGATCCTCGGCATCGCGCGGTGGGATGAGGACGAGCGGGAGCGAGAGGAGCGGTGTGGGCTCGTGTACGGACTCGTGGTCACCGGCATGGGCGAGGGCGGCGTGCTCCCCGTGGAGACGATCATGGTGCCCGGGAGCGGGAAGCTGAAGCTCACGGGCAGCCTCGGCGAGGTGATTAAGGAGAGCGGCGAGCTCGCGCTGAGCTGGGTGAAGCGGCATGCGTACGATTTGTATATCACGAAGACACGCGCGCAGGACCCGCTGAAGAACCCGGACCCGGTGGATGTGCATTTGCATCTGCCTAGTGGGGCGGTGAAGAAGGACGGGCCATCTGCGGGGATCGCAATGGTGCGTTTGATCTGAATGTTTACCTGGTTGACCTGACTGACTTGCGGTCTCGTAGACGTGTGCATTTGTATCATTGCTGACGGGTGTATGTGTTCCAAGCAATATCGCCATGACCGGCGAGGTCACCCTGCGCGGACGCGTCGGGCCCGTCGGGGGCATCAAGGAGAAGGTGCTCGGTGCGCACCGTGCGCAGATCACGAAGGTGATCTTGCCTTGGGCCAACCGCAAGGACGTCGAGCACGACGTGCCCAAGGAGATCCGTGCTGAGATGCAGATCGTGTTCGTGCGCACGGTCGAGGAGGTGCTCGAGGCCGCGTTCGGGAAGGGCGTCGTTGGATGGAGACGGAGCGATGTCCTCGTCGAGAGCAGGCTCTAGCGTCCCGTTTGTGGATACGTGTATCGTTAGTATATGGACAGGGTGAGATTGAGTCTTTGGTGTTTGTACTATGTCTAGATGGTTCACATTGGTTCTGTTTTCTTCGCATCTACATACTGTACGATCTGTTGTAGGTGGTCGGACTGGCTTGTTCGGTTGTTCCACTTCTAATATGTTGAATTTGTGCTTCGGGCCTCACTTCTTGCTCATATCCTGTTCACACTCGTTTAATATTGTACTATACTACATTTTGCAACAATCAGTGCACTGCTGTGCCTACAATCCACTTCTCGTAGTCGAATTTGTCGGTATGGATCGCGGGGACCATCCAGCCTCTGCGGGTTCACGCTCTCACATACGTGACAAGACGTCCTCCTTCGGCTCTTGCAGCCAGTTGTGCTCACCGTGGGCGATGAACACCCGCTCTGGTACTTCTCGAGGTCGTCACGAGCCACGCCGTCGTCAGTTGTCACAAGCAGCTCTTCGTACTGGTTGACGTATCTGCGTACGCTGTCAGTGGAAGGTTTCTATGCATCATTGGAGGGTATTGTACACACTCTTGGTATTCGTCCTCTTCCTTCGGCGCCACGTTTGGGTTGAGGAGCTGCGTAGCGATTGCCTCAGTGGAAGTTGGATCCAGCTCTACTGCGTTGCCGACGAAGCGGGAGCGTGGACGTGCCACTCCGTCCACGGGAGACATGTGTGAGCCCTTTGGGCTAGAGCGCATCCAGCGCCGTACTCCGTCCATCAGCCTGTAGAACGAAAGTGTAAGTGACATGCTTGACGTAAAGAGTCTATAGTGCTTACTTCGGATGGTGATGATGATGCGATGATGGGTTGTATTGGGGCAGAAAAGGACTGTGATTGATATCTCGCGCGGTTTTGCTGCAGTGCTTGTCAACATAAGGTGTTTGAGACTTGAAGGAGGGAGGGGCCTACCCAGGCAGCTTCAGCGTGCTGTTCATCGAAAACGCAAAGTGCTTCCCCAAAGAGGTAAACAACAGCGGCTTATAATACTCGATCCAGAAGTCGCCCCGAGTATTGATGAACTGGCTGATCCCACGCTCGCAATCTTCAAGCGCATACGCAGGCTCAAGGTTTTCCTCCTTGAACCACTTCTGGTACTTGCCCCTCTGCGGCGCGCGTGCGACGGCGCGCTCGGGGTTGATCCCAGGAAGAGGTTGATGGCGGCCTGCTTATCGGCGTCGAGGAGGGAGTTGGCGTAGAACCGGCGGAGGTTCTCGATGATGTCGCGTGAATGGCTGTTCCAGTGGGGCATGCGGCGGTAGGTCTCGACACGGTTGACGAGGGCGCTCCCGGTGTACTGGAGGGCCAAACCTGAGCCATGACCAATGTCAGCATGGTTCACAGTGCAGGGAAAGGAACGGTACACACTGTCACCGTGATCGTGGTACATCTCGGTGAGCATGTTCACTGCGTCCGAGTCAAAGGCAAGGTTGGGCGAATCCACTACGCCAGTGCGTACAGTGGTGGCCGAGCGCGCGCTTTCCAAAGACGAACTGCGCGGCGTTCGTTCGGTCGAGGCAGTCTACGCAGTTGGTCCGACAGATGCCGTTCTGCAGCAGCATCGTGCCACGCCATGACCTGTCTGACGCGTTCAGCCTCTAAACGCTGCATGTCAGTGACGGATACATAGAGGATTTGGGCATAGAGGACTTACTCAGCTTCGATGTCGAGTGCATGCGAGAAGGGTTCCGGCCCAGAGTGGAAGAAGCCGTCATCTGTATGGACTCCTCAGCGATATCCTCAAGTACCCATCACATCTTGTGTCTTCCTAAAACACATTAGGCCACTTCACATGCCGAACGCAAACCGCCCTACTCTTGTACGCCCTCGACATGTCCCACGCACGGTATATCATCCGCTTCTCAGGCGGGAGGAACTGATTCAGTAGTCCACGCACTGCTGGTACTCGACGCCAGCTTGCTCTCGCGCGGGACGGGCTCGCGCTTCTTGATGAGGTTGAGCAGCATCAGCGGTGCGCCGTACCGCGCGAATAGATCGGCAAGTGTCGGGACGCGGCAGTGTAGAACGGGTCCATGACGCTGACTGCGAGAACGACGGTCAGGGGACGGACGACGAACGCTGAGAGGAAGGACGTACTCTCATGGGCGGCTTGGGACTCATGCTGTTGGTCTCTTGTGCCCATAGACGGGATGCTGCCTCGTACTGCTCGCGTCAGGTTGTTCTGTTGGGAGAGCTGCTTACCTGCACGTAGCTCGTGAAGTTGGGGCTGGTCGCCGGCTTTGGTGTTCGCCGTCCGGGGTGCGCCGCGCAGGGTAGTAGAACGGGTGGTGAGCGTCTCGGAGACGATCTGCTCGTCTCAACCTCGTTGGCTACGTTGCCCTAGTACAAGTTCATTATTGGATTAGAGGAAATATTTGTGGACTCACTTCGTCGTTCACGCCGCGCTTGAGGTAGCGTGCGCCGGCATGATGCCTGGACCGCCGGGCGATGAGGGTGATGAAGATAACACGTCCGAGCACGGTGAGTTCTGAGTTCAGACCCGGTCAGAGCGCAGACGCAACAACGAAGTGAATGTACTCACTAGCCTGATCGACATGCCCGTGAATCAGGGCAATAGCCAGTGGTTCTTCGAGCTGGTGACTTTCCATCGTTGAATGGGAGGTCAGCATGTGGTTGTTCCATGCAAGCGATCATTGAGCAACCACCGCCGGTGTGGAGGGAGACCCGTGCGAGTGAGGTTGTGTTGCAAAGTGGATGTAAGATCATACGTATAGCTGGTCACTGTTGGTTCATTCTTCACGACAACGGGGGACTGCTATGGCACACCTGAAGTAGAAATTCTTGGACATGTCGACTTGCTTGAAGATGTTCATGAGGCGTTGCTCCTCTGCAGGCTTGTCGATCTTGTGGTTGAAGCACACCGGCAGGATGTCCGTGCTCTCACAGTGGTAGATGTAGTGCCCACCGAGCAGCGCGACCACAGAGCGTTTCGAGATCACAATCATGTACCACCCCGCCGTGAACTGCACGAAACCTGATATATTCGTTGATACAAATACATGAGACTGACCACGGCAAGGCGCACCAGCGATGCCGAAGAACACCCTCGCTCGCCCAAGGCCTCCGCTGCCCCGGTTCCCATCCTCGAGCATCTTGAGCATGGCGCTCATCTGCTTCCCGCTGTAGACGGCCTCATCCTCGACTACCTCCAGTTCATCCTGCGAGGTCCTGTCGATCTTGATGATCTTGTGTCGTGAGTCGGACGTGTTAGATGCGACAATGTAGAAGCGCAGCCGGTTCTCGTATAGAATGAACTTGTTGAAAACAAGAGACTGGTCTTCGGTGTGAGGCGCTGGGTTGACGGAGGGAGGGGTTGTGGAGGCAGCAGCTATGAACGACTGTGGCTTGCTCTCGTGAGACTGGGAAGAGGCAACCTCTACGTGACTTTCGGGTATCGATGATCCTGGTACAGACGACAGTGAGTGTTGTGAGACTGGTGTTACCGTCTCGCTGGTATCCGAGACTACTTCTGCGTTGTCCGAGTGAAGAGGTGTGGGTATCTCAAGCGGGGGCAGAGACGGTTTCCTGCTGCCTGTAGGCGACAGTGCCTTCGCCACTGCAGTGCTTGAGCTTGCCATCGCAGACGATGAGGACGAGCGACCTGACCGACAGCAAGCCGCAGACGCGCAGGCAGAGTGCTGGCGGCGGCGGCGGTGGCTGAGAAGGAGGAGCGACCCGCCACCGACGCGCGCGTCGATCGAGATCGCGGACGGTGCAGTCGTTCACTGCCCGTCTGCCTCCCCTCCATGTCCGCTGAAGCCCCTCCACTCTACGAGCCCGTCGACGAAGTGCGTGATTGTTATTTGTTTACTGAGCATAATAAACCTCACGAACGTCCATAGTCCCAGCTCACCGAAGAGACTGGGGAGATCTACCTCTTCCAATGGCTCGCGTCTACCGAGAAAGCGGTCCGGCAAGCCAGCACGGTGCGCTCTATATGTCAACCTCCATTACCGCTTGTATAGTATTGACCTGACGGCTAGGATGACTTGAAGACGATCCAGACAGACCTTGAGGAGACCCTAGTCAAGATCATCTCCTCCCCGGAACCATACCCATCTCCCGGCCGACCTGTCAGAAGCATTGTCGCGAGATGCCTGACCGCATTATACACCAGAGGAGAGACGAAGACTCTGTACGATACAATCCAGTCATTCCTCAAGATAATCGGAGAGCCGAAGGGTGTGGGGAAGGACTCGAGCAAGATGTGCGTAACTTTCTCGTGTGGTGCTTTGGGTGATCCTTCGATCGCAAGCGTCACGACGGAGAACATATCCTAGATTATGCAGTGTACGATGCACATGGGCTCTCTATGAGGCTCCAGGGGATAATAGTGTCGGAAGAGTCACCCCGAGTACCAGTCTCTCCGTAGTCCAACTAACGGTGTCCTAACCAGAGCAGCGATGTACTGTGTCGCAGAGTTGATGGGCATGTTTGGTAGCCAGGTAGGAATGATGCATGTGTCATCTTGTACTCTAACACTCACGACGCTGTACAGGTCATGTCCCTCGTGATAGAGATTGTCACCACCTGTCTGAAGCTCTACCGCACATCCTCCGTGGTGAGTGCTACGCAAACTGTCCAACGATGCCCTTGTGCTCATGAAACTTCAAGCCAATCATCCTGAAGTATCATTCTCTCGGTGCTCTGGAGAAGACATTGTCTACAGCAAAGCGAGCAGTCACTGACGCGCTCGTGAAGGATATCACCAAGCAGATGAAGAATGCACTCAGCGACAAAGCCCTCCCTCTCCAGCGGGCTGCATGCGATGTGAGTGTCCTGTTCAATTCTACGCACCTCCCTCTCATCAAGCTCTAGGTTCTGATCCTGATGTACCCGGCAGACGACAGCTCACGACTGGTATCAGACGTCGACCCTCTCGTCGTATCATGCACGAAGAGCCTAGAGAATGCTGACCAGCTCACGCGGCGCTCCCTCGCCAAGCTCGTCGCACACATCCTCGCGACTACGCAGGTCCAGCGCGTCATCCCCGTGGCGGAGCCGCCCAAGAAGGCGAAGAAGGGTCAGAACGCGAACGAGGACGACGAGGACGCGATTCCAGGCATGCACGTCCAGGCGGAGGAGGCCAAGCCGATCATGACTCCGCAGGAGATGCTCGCGCAGCTGTCGACCCAGTTCAACAAGCCGCAGGCGAGCAAAAAGACGCGCGTGGGCATCTTTGACTTCTATGCGGCGCTGTTTGCCCATCTTGGGAGTGGGTGGGTGGAGGCGAACTATGGGCTGCTCGTAGGCCATTTGATGACGGAGATCGTGGCAAACCCGAGGAACTCGACTACACGGTATGAGACGCTGTTGGTGAGGGCGCTAGTGGAGGTGTTGCTGCGGGACTTGGTGGGCGTGAGGATGCTCGGCGAGCAGGCGCAGATCAGCGCGATCCAGGAATTGTCGACCGTGTATCTGAAGCGGTGGCCTGCACTGATGCCGGGTCAGACGGCGCCGAACCCACTGTGCCTCGCCGTCGCGCTGAGGGAGGTCGCAGGCCTGCTGCAACAACTAGGCAATGCACCTCCTCCCGTTCAGGTAGGCTCGAGCCCATTCCTGTTTGACACACTAGTGACGCGTCATGCTGCAGGACGCTCTGGTAGAGCCATTGCAGACGCTTCTAGGGCACCCGAATCATACCATCCGCGTGAACGCATCGTGGGCTCTCCGGTGCTTCTGCTATTCTACTCCTCTCCGCCTGCCGAAGGTCCTCCTCAGCGTCGTCGAGATGTTGCAGCGCGACATCAGCACACTCACCACGCCCGCCGCTCCCGCAGACATCACTACTCGCACTCTCGGACACGCATACGGCCTCGCAGCGCTCCTAGCTGTCATCCCAGAGCGCCCACTGTACGTTAGCTACGACATCAGTGCTAAAGTGTTCGACATGGCTGTACAGCTCCTGAACGTGCGGGCGAGCATGAGGTACGGGTGGCGAGGACGGAGGTGGAGGTCGCTTGGACGTGCATCGCGGCATTGATGGCGCTCGGCCCGAACTTCGTGCGAGCTCACCTCCCACAGCTCCTCGTCCTCTGGCGAAATGCCCTCCCGAAGCCCACAAGCAAGGACGCGCAGGCCGGGAGGAGCCCCGCCGAGTGGATGTTCCTCTTGCACCTCCGCGAGAGCGCGCTCGGAGCCGTTTACTGCTTCCTGAAATACAACTCCCCGACGCTCGTCACGCCCGACGTGACGCGCCGCATCGCATCGATGCTCAGCAACTCGCTCTCATTCGCGAACACGTTCACGTCCCGACGCGTCGAGGAGACGCCGGAGATGCCGCAGCCCGAGACGAAGGAGCTGTCGTTGGAAACCGCGAGGCGCTCTTGCGGACGAGGATCTTCTTGTGTTTCTCGCTGATCGGCCATTCGGGTGCGACGGAGTCGATACAGTCCAGCCTTCTGCAGTCCGCTATCGCGCTCTTCGCGAGTCCTGAGGATACGCGGGGTCGTCCTTGCAGGCCGCAATCGCCTCTTCGACTGGCTCATTTACGTCCATTTGGCAAAGCACAGATGGATATGCATATGGCGTGTCTGATGTGGAAATCGAAGAGAGACTCAGGCCGTGTATGAACCGGGACAGCGTGGAGGTTTCTATCGAGGAATTGGTGAGCCTTGATGTTGTGGACTAAAATACGAACATCTACTGACTAGTAGTCAGACACAAAACCAATCCTCAGATCATGCTCTCATGATCCGTTGTTTCTCTGCCAACGGGTAACGACCGACACTGCCAGCCAATGGCCCGAACCGCCACCTCCCGCTACCGCTGCCGTCAATGCGGCTGTACACCTGTTTGCTCAACTCCTGCCTCTGCAGGATTTGTCTGTTACCGTTCGTTCCTTGACGCAGTTAATTGATTTCACCGGGTCTGCCAAGCTCGAAAAGAACTCTGGTAGGAGAGCCGCGGTGTCTCTTAATGTCACGATAGCTCTTGTGCTCGCTCTCAGGCAGGTTACTGGAGCCCGATCACGACAGGTACTCGGTAGTCCTCAGGTGACTTCTCTTTTGGCCCCGTTCTTGAAGGTAAGCTTTGCTAGCTCTTGAGTTCAAAAATTGCCACAACGCTTACTTATATGCAGGAGGTTCTGGTGGATGGAGACTCAGTTTGCGTAAAGGCGTGCTGAAGCCATCGGCCGCCTAGCCAACATCGCGGGGACCAACTTCCTGACGAACCAAGCGAAAACTCTAGTCGACCAGGTCGTTAGCAACCGCGATCCTCACGGACGAGCTGGATGTGCGCTTGCTTTCGGAGAGATTCATGCTCACGTTGGTGGTATGGCGGCTGGGCCACTTCTGAAGACCACCGTGCATGTCCTCATGTCCTGATCAACGACCCTCACCCCGTCGTCCACTTTTGGGCACTTACGGCACTCGCGCGCGTCATCGACGCTGCTAGTCTGGCCTATGCTCCGTTCGTCCCAAGTACACTCGGGCTACTCTTCAAAGTGTATATGATGGAGTCACATGAACCGGAGGGTGGTGCGCTCAACCAAGCGAACGTCAGCGGTGATCTTCCCGCGTATCAGGTCGTCTGTCAAAACATCGATGCCGTGATCACTGTCCTCGGACCTGACATCCAGGACTCAGCTCGCTCTCGCACTCTTGTTCTCGATCTTGTTCATCAGTTCAACAGCGAGGACGACGACGGCATCTGCGTGGAGGCCATCAACTGTATTCAACATTTCCTGATGTTCGCGCCAGACTCGGTCAACGTACCGGACCTGGTGGTCCGCTTCAGAGGGTATCTATCGTCGTCACGTCGACCTCTGAAGCTCGCCTCGATCAATGCCCTCTACCAGCTTGTGCAAAAGGACGCCTTCGCGATGTCAAGGCTAGGAGGCGATCAACTTGTCGAGGAGCTGTTTGCTATGCTTGACGATGACTCGTCTGTAGACGGAGTTCGGAACGTCATCACAAGTTGGCTGCAGCAGACCGTCATCCACAACCCATCCGCTTGGATTGACCTATGTCAACGCATCATGTCTCGCACGACCGCTTCCCAGCAGATTGCAGACGCGGCTTCTAAGAAGGGCGACTTAATGGATGATGAAGGACAGTCACTGAGTGTGGGTACAAGTCAAGAATCCGGGGCAGCTAGCGGTCGTCAAACGTCGCGGTGGAGAACTCAACTTTTCGCTCTGCAGTGTCTACACAGCATCTGCAATATCGTCAGCTCGTCGGGGCGCAGAGAACATCTGGACATGGTCTTCGCGCTTAGTCAAGGCATCCCAGTCCGTGGACTACTGGTCTCGCGAGTGCCAGACTTGATCAAGATTGCATTTACTGCCTCGGCAGCTCACGTTATGGAAATCCGCCTAGAGGGCCTAACCGTATTACGAGACGTCATAGAGGTCAGTGGCTCAGTCAATGCCTGACTCTGTTATATTCATCGCGAGATAGATGTTTGCAAGGACACCGGATCCAGAATATCAAGACGCTCTCTTGCTGGAACAACATCAAGCTCCTGTCACCGCAGCGTTGACGCCTGCCTTTTCGTCTGATTCGACCCCGGAAATCCTCGCAACAGCTATTGGAGCGTGCGCCGTGTTTGTTGGTTGCGGAGTGGTGAAGGATGTTGGCAGAATGGGCCGAATACTCAAGCTTCTGACATCTGCGTTGGAGCAGTCCAAAGGTGACATTCACTCAGCGATGTGTCTTGCAGCCTTTATTGATGCGAGCAGAGTCTGGAATGCTGTCGCTTGGAGAGGCCGCCGAGCTTAGTCCTAACGCATCCGTCATGTTGCGCATTGCCACCTTGTCGGCCTGGGCCGAATTGCAAGTAGCAAGCAAAAGTCAGAAATACTTAATCGACGTCGTCAAACCATACCGATTGGTGCTTGCCCCCCTATGGATAGCATCTTTACGCGATTACGCCAGTGTTCGTGCCGATACGGAGGTTGTCGAAGATGCTCCTCCTGGCGCGATAGACTCGTCGTATACTAGTCTGGGGAAAGAGGTGCTCTTACCGGTGTGTCATCACGTTTTACATCGTCTGCGCTCGTCTACTGAGGTGCCGTAGTATTATGTCGAATCATGGCCAGTCATCCTTCAAGCAATGGCCACCGCAATGGAAGAAGACGAGCCTTACATCGTAGCCGCCATGGACGGTCAAGAGGGTGTTGTTGCTGCCACCGGAAGAGAGTCCAACGATTCCATGCGAGAAGAGCCTGCTGCATTCTTCTTCGCCGTATTCGGTCTCGTTTACGAGGCTCTTTGTACCGCGGTTCCTGACGCAGACGCTGCTGCGCGTCGAGTTTGCACGATTGCATTACAGGCATTGACATCGCTTGTCTGTCCGAAGTACTGCGGGAAGGTATTTGCTGACCCTGTGCTGTTCGAAGAACTCGTCAATCTCTTCTATCGCATGGCGTTGACAGAGCCGGCAGTTGTGCAAGTATATATGGTGGAGGCAGTCGCAAGTCTAGCGGAAGGCCTGGCCGTAGTGCAGAGGGGTGGACCGGCAATGTCGCATACAATTTTTGCCTACGTCGAATGCAACTGACCTCCCTGTGAACAGGCCAGGTACATCGATCCAGGAGTTGATGAGCCTACCACAAGTACATTGCGTGCGGATATGTGCTTATGTATTGCGGAGAGCTATCACGGGTCCACGTATTAGTGCAGTAGGTGGGTTTGCATGTCCTTCGTGCTACGTGACAATTGCCTTACTCTGATTCTATCTAATTCTATCAGTCGATGGCTCAACCCCTCTAGACAAGGCAAAGCTCATCAACGCGACATTTGAGGCATTCGTCAAGATATCGTCATCCTTTGGCACCAGACAAAGAGAGGAGTTTAGGGCTATAGGCATCACGTTGTACGGCGGTTAGTTCACTCGCAATTCTGTAGCAGCACAGCAGTTTAAAGCTAATTCCTATGCAGACCTCCTAAAGGATGAGACCTCAGAAGTCGACTTGGTCGGGCCTACCCTGCAATCGCTGAAGATCCTCCTCGATAAACCCGCCGACCTGGTGGATACTGATAACAAGTACGAGAAAGCGATCCATGGTATCCTTTCTGCCTGCTTGGTGAACGTCGATGAGATGAGGTCAGTCCTCCTCTCGCAATTGGACGAAGTGATTTCTTAGTCAATGAACATACGTGCAGGGGGCGACAAGGGGTCATCTCAACGAGAAAGATCAAGACTAACCTTCTAGCTGCTGTGCTCATCTTGACTGTGATTCCTCCAAACGTGAAGGTCGGACGCGCAATCCTAGATCACTGCTGTTTCTTGCTTTCGCAGAAACTGTCAGACGCGGACGAGGTGAGCATTTCTGGATCAGTCGATACACGACATTACGTCTGACGCTTTGCAGGCATCACTGACGGCAGCTCACTGCGCCAAGACGTTGATACTTGCGTCGACATCTGGCAATGCTGTGCTTCGTCATTGCGCAAGACTACTCTTGCCTGGCATGGTCGAATGTCTTGCCAAGATCGCTGCGTCTGTTGCAGACGATGCTACTGATTCTCAGCTAGCCATGGCAGACGAGATCTTCAAGGCACTCACCGCGTTATTGTCATCTCTCCCAGAGGAGCTTCGTAAGTGATCACATTATTATTCAAAGGCTGTTGATAATCTTTGCATATAGGCTCGCGAGCTCTGGGTGTTCTGATGCCAGCCATGATCCTGCTACTCCATCCTACCCGAGTTATTCCGTCGAAGATGCACACACAGAGTGTTCGGCAACTCCTTGCGATTGCTGCAGTTTCACCAGCCGCGTTTAAGGAAGCGACAGGCAAGCTCAACCAGCAGATGCGCGATACGTTGGAGACTTCTGTCAGACAGGCTGTTGGCAACCGAGGTCCTGCAGTGGATGCGCCCAAACCACAAATCTCTCTGAGGTCATTCTGAAGGACATTACACATATCATTGTCGACGGGATAGACTAGTGGTAACTTATTGCGCTTGGAATGTTCCTGGACCGGCCTCCGTCAAAGTGTACCTCTCGACAAATCAAATTCTCTACCAGCGTCCTCGTGAACTCAATTGGACAGTGGGACGCGGAACACACTACATATGTATTCCACGCAGGTTCTATCCACAGAACGACATTGCAGACATAGGCTATGGCAGGCCAACTCTGCGCATCGTGCATATCAACCCCCCTGTGACATTGAAATATACGAGCCTACTGTGCTCCCAAGAGACGTGAGGACGGTCTATCAGCCTAGCGAGCATACGATCAACAGACTACGATGCTATTTAAGATACGGTTGACTATAAAAATGACGAAGCGTAGAGCCACATACAATAAAAGCTGCATTATAGGCCATCCCACTACCGAGCATAGGGATGGTACCCATGTTGTCCCCGCACGGCGTTCCTTGTCGGGCCCACGCCCGCATTCATCATCGGACTTCCCCTCCCCCGTGCCATAGGGCTCATGCCCCCGCCCATGCCGCCCATCATCCCCATGCCCTGCCTCATCATCGGACCCCCATTGTTCATAAAGTTTCGCATCATGCCCATGTTCTGCGTGTTCATCCCCATGGGGCCCATGCCCATCCGCAAGTTGCCGCCGCCCATGTTGCTGCCCATGTTCGCCATGCCCATGCCCCGGGAAGCGTTCATACCGCCGCCCATGCCGGCCCCCATTGGTGAGCCCATCCCGCCGCCGCCGCTCATCCCGCCGAAGCCCCCCATCTGCGGGCTCATGGGCATCATGCCCATGCCACCGCCACCACCACTCGTGTTGCCATGCCCATGCCCATGCCCATGCCTGCGCCCATCGGATTCATGCCCATGGGCATGGTGCCGCCCATCATGGGGAGCTGCCCCATCATCAGCATGGACATCTGCTGGGGGTTCACGGCTGGCCGCTGCGCCGCCTGGAAACCCATGCTGTTTGCTCCGGCCTCGTATGTCGACTCGCGTGTCGTTCGGCCCATGCGAGATTGGTCGCGTTGATTGCGCGGTTGTGCAACCTTTACCTCGATCTGTGGCTGGGCGTGAGCCTTGGAGTAATCCACGGGGTACGGACAACATACCGCTTTGTCGTCGAGTATCAAGTCGCTTCGACCGACGAGCTGGTCGGTGTTGCTCGCATCCTCGAATGTGACGAAACCGAAGCCCTTTGACCGACCGGTCTCTCGGTCGACCATGACAGTGCAATCGACGACCTTGCCGAATGACGAGAAGAATGCTCGCATTGAGTCGGACGCCGTGACATGCGATAAGCCACCGACAAAGTAGCGTGTGTTACGGAGATGCTCCTCTCGAGGAATGGCTCGCTTTGGGTCAATCTATGGAGAGGTCGCAGTACACCGGTGAGTGCGCGACCATAGAGCTCTGAATGCATCTACCTACCGATTTCCCGTCGAGAATGTGTTCTCGTGTCATCACGGTATTCACGGAGCTCGGTTCTTTGAAGGTAAGGAAGGCGAACCCTCGCGAGCGTCCATCCTGGTCACGTAGAATGGTGCAGTCTTCAACGTCGCCGAACTCTGAGAAGTATTTTCTCAGACCCTCTGATTAACGCACGTGAGGGCAACAATCAGCATGGCAGGATCAAGATCGACAGAACCAACGAGTACCATCAGTTGTATCCCAACTCAGGCCACCGACGAACAGTTTGCTGGATATGTAGGCACCGAGTAGAGAATTGTTGATAATAGCATTGTCCGGTTATCGTAGCGAAGACAAGTACGGTGACATGTTGAGGAGTACCATGGATTGTGTCGAAAGCGATTAGTCGGTGTCGTAAGGAGAGCAGGCGGCGAGGCATTGCAGACAGGCTAGGAACATAGACGCACGAGAGAGGGAGACAGAGGCAGAGACACAGCACAGTCGTACGGTGCGTAACAGTAGCGACAACAACCGTATGGTGTTAGACGATACGAAGCCAGAACTGTAGGTGTCACGTAGCGTGTCTGACTCGTGAAGTACCAGATATCCATGTATGCGTGCGTCGTCCAATCCAGTACGCCTGTACGAGCTCGACAGAACAGGGGGAAGCACTCACCCTTCGTCTTTCATCTCTGACGGCCTCACAGCCCGCCTACCAGAGGCATCTTGAAGGGAATTGTTCGACGAGTCGTTTCCGCCCGACGGCTGCGACGTCGAAGATCTGCTCTGTCGTTCCTGTGCAGGAGTCTGCTTGTATGCAGAGAATTGTTGTGCGATTTGCGCCGAATAGGATAGTTCAGACTGGGATGGTTTTGCTGGCAAAGAGCTAACTCCTGTCGGAGTTTTGGTCTCCTCTAGCGGTGACTGTAGTGACTTTGCTTCATGAAAAGCATGTTGTGTCGGCGAGGAGGCTTGAGATGCGGGTTCTTTCATGTCCGTGCTATCGCCATAGAGGTCTGCAAATACTCAGCGCTGTGAGGCACGTTGAGGGTTCCCTTTCGCCTACCGTCGTAGATATCATCCTCGAGTGCAGCAGGCATGGTCAAAGTGAGCGAAGCCTGAGGGATATGGCGAGAGGAAAGGGGTCGCAGTGTCTCGGCTCCCGGGTGCCTCGCTACTAGGCCTGAAGTCACGTGCAATCAAGATACATTCCACAGCTGCTGATTTACAAATATAGTAAGTGCAGTATTCGGCCTGCTGCGACTATTGTATGTATCAACAATTGGAGGTAATGATCACCGAAGATGTCACGAAGAGAACTCGATATTCGGGGACAAGCCTCAAGTCGTACCAGAGGTAATCCTTCGCAGGGCCCCCGACTGAGACCGTCCCAGAAGATCACGCTTGCCGGCCGTTCACGCCGTAGGAGAGAATTGCACGCCTTGAGCGAGCGGGGCTTCGTCTGAGAAGTTGATGGTGCAAGCACTCCAGCGCACGTATTGTTTCCAGGCATCGCCGCCCGACTCACGACCCCTGGACATAATCTCAGTATAAAGGTGTCCATGTTTGAGAGACACCACATACCATCCAGTGCTCTACCAAATTCACAGGGCAGACACATTCAGTCAAAAGGTATTCGAGCTGCGCTAGTCTTACCTTGTTCCCTCCGAAAGCTGCCCCAATTTCAGCGCCGCTTGTGCCGACGTTCACCTGGCGATTCGATCATTCGGATGTATATGCGCAGAATTATTGACGAAGCTTACGTTGACAATGCCCGCATCGGACCCCGCTGGCCCGATCCACTTACCAACATTGCGCAGATCCCTCGTCCATAAGCTACTGCTCAATCCCTAGGTAGAGCACGTCAGTCTGTCTCATACTCTCCATAGCCATACAACTTCCCAAGGGACGAATTACCTGGGGAGCACCGTTGTTCCACGCAATCGCCTGTTCGAGTTCGTCAAATACGCCGACACAGAGCACAGGTGCGAACGTCTCCCGACTCCACACGGCGTCCTTCACGTTGACTGAAGTCGGTACCGCGATGGTCGGCATGACGAAGTTACCGCCGTCGAGCGGCTTCGCCAAGCCTTGGTACGGCGTGCCACCGGCGAGGATCTGGGCACCCTCCTTGCGCAAACGGTCCACGGCGTTAGAGTAGATCCCCACTGCAGCGCGCGTGTGCAGGGGGCCGAGGAGGGTCGCTTGATCGAGTGGATCCCCTGGGCGAATGGTCGCGTAGAGTGACTGAAGACGTTCGATGAAGGCTGGGGCGATGTCCCGGTGCAGATACAGCCTTCTCGTGGAAGTGCAGCGCTGTCCAGCCGTCCCGACAGCACCGAAGAAGACAGCAGGCACTGCGAGGTCGAGGTCGGCATCGGGCATGATTATGGATGCTAGGTGGAACCCGTAGCGTCAGCTCACGGTAGAACGAGTTGGAAACGGTGACTTGCCATTGTTTCCGCCAAGTTCGAGCAGCACCTTTCCGAAGCGACTCTGTACTACCTTACCTACTTGTCGACCAACAGCTTCGCTGCCAGTGAAGGATACTGTTCCAGCATGTCGGTTTTTGTATGTCCGATTTTAGCGGATAGACCCACCCATATCAACGTCCTGACTTTCGACGACCGCTTCGCCGACACTCTTCCCTCCGGTTACAAGTCCAGCAACAGCACCTGGTATGCCATTCCTCTCCAGTACTCCCGAGATAATTTTCGTGATAGCAATCGAACAGAGTGAGGTACTCGGAGAGGGCTTCCAGAGCGTGGCATTGCCAGCAGCGAGTGAGAGTGCCAAGTTCCTGTCCGGCGTGAGAGAGGTAAAACGTTCATTTAGAGCACCATCATTACCATCCGTAGACAGCCACCGGGAAGTTAAAGGCAGAGAGGACCGCGACAACACCCAAAGGGTTGGGGACTGGAATGAGTGTGAGCATATAACTCATGCTTTGCAGTATGACAGAGGAAACTGTACCTTCGAGAATACTATGCCCTGCTCTCTCAGAGGCAACGACTCGACCATTCATCATGCGTGACAGACCAACGGCGTAGTCAGCCTGTGTTCCCACTTCAGCGCGCAACAAAGCTGTAAGACGGATGTTCGCGCACTATGTCAATAAACTCTTGCACCTCGCCAGTTCCCTCTGTCTTGATTTTTCCCATCTCGAGGGATACGAGCGCACCTAACTCATCACGCTACACGAGAGGTATATTAGCCGGTGCACAAGAGCGTACGACATGGCAGACCTTCGTAGCCAACGCCTCCCTGATTTGCCGGAGTATCTCTCCCCTCTTCGGAGCTGGCATCGTTCTGAACCAAGTGTATGCCTCCTTGGACTTCTCCAATGCTGTCTGAAGTTCTTGAGGGGAAGCCTATGTTCGCAGGAGCACTTAAGCACTGTGATTTCAGAAAGTATGCAGAGCACCTACGGAGCGAACGCGCGCCAGGACCTCACCAGTTGTGGGACATACGCTCTCGAGAATATCCCCAGAGCCCACCCATTCCCCATGATACACACCGGGCAGCTCACCATCTGCAGGAATACCAACAGCGGAGAGCACCGCCGACGCACGAGTGGACAGTTCTCGGACATACTGTCGGTGCACGACTGCCAGGGCCCTCCTAGGGAACATCATCGTCTTGAAGTTCTATAGGCGGAAGGTAGGATGGTCGACGTAATATATATGTGCGATTGTAACGAGCGGTACATCGTGACAACTGCCTCAGGCGACCTCTGTAGCGGTGTAGCCGCCCACTGTATGATCCGTACCGGTTGACTTTCCCCGCATCAGCAAGATCCCATCGCTACTGAACGCCTGTCATCCTTCGGCCAATTCCGACCCACCAATATATGGCAATGGGGCGACCAGGATAATATTCTGGCATTGAACTTGGCGAAATAGGAATGAACATAAGTGGTATATATGCATAGTTCTACCGTACACGCTAAGCCTTATCCTCGATGCCCTGCTTCAGATATTTGAGTACCTGTACAACCCCCAATCCACCGTCCATGTAATAAGTTATTGCACAGACGAACTAACAGCAAATGCGCGACTGCAGACATGATAGCTCATAGCTCAATGACAGTGCTTTCGCAAAGACCAAGCAACTGCACGTTGAGAAGGCACTAGATAACAGGGGCCCGAGGGCGTAACGACACACCTCTCCCAACCCTCTACATCAACCGATCAATGCACGCTGCCGACCAGAGCAGCCGCAGCGACTCTTCCTTGTCGAATCCTCTCTTGCGTGCGCTCTGCGGCAGCGTCGTAGACATATTGCACAGGCTGATGCCACCGATGATGTCGCCCATCGTCCGAGTCCGATTCGAGCGAATCGTCGTTCTGGCGAGACTGATCGTCTGCATTGTCGTAGAAGATATCATCTGGATCGAAGCCGCCTGCACACATTGATGAGCACAACGACACCACGACGAGAAATGCGACAATGAGACACGCACGGTCAGACTCTGTTGGGTCGATCTGCCTTCGTTTTCCGAGAGCTTTTGCGCTGAGTCTGACAGGTGTCCCGTGCATATCCTCAGGGTTGTCCCTGTTGTGTACGCTGAGCCTGTTCATGTCTCGAGCAAGCGAGCCGGGAGCAGAGTCCAATGAGCTGCGCGGGACAGACTGTTTCAAGGATGCGCGTTCCGGCGAAGGTGTCCGCGATTGCGGGCCGGTGCTATGAGCGGGCGAACGCGGTCCTAGTGGTGCATGAGGAGGGGGAGCGAGAGATTGAATAGAGCCTTGAGTAGTAATAGGGGGCGCCTGATGGTGTTTTGCGGTCGGTGTCGTCGTATTTGAAGGGATAGGTGGCAGGGGATGTGATTGAGCAGGCGTCACCGTTGTAATGACGAAGGATGGTGCGGAAGACAATGAAGGAGATGAAGGAGATGGACTGCGTGATGACGATGCACCAGCGTGATGAGCTTCTCCTGGTTCCAAGTATGAATGATCCAGATCTTCATAACGAAGGTGCTGTATGCAAATCGTTGAGCGAGCGAATCTGCGATAGGAACAGGCAATCTCACGCTTCGATCCATCCTTGTTTCTTTACGGCTCCGTTCCTCCGCTTCACGTTCCATGCCAACACGTTCCAGGTCGTCATACAAGCGCAAAGCCTCCATCAAGTCCTCGTTGGCGGCCAACAAAGCGGCAAGTAGCTGTTCTTCCTGTGTCAACTCGCCAGTAGATGATATGGTTGATAAGGAGACTTGTGAGTCTGTACGGTTGGGGGTGCGCGAGTCCGTCGACGGCCTAGTACCACTATTCGGCTGGCCTCTGCGCCCCGCTGCTTGGCGTGACCGTTCCGCCTGCGCAAACGCCCAAGGTATCTGCGCAGAAACGAGCTCTTGTGATGCACGACAGCGTGCGTAGAACTCCTGCGTAGCCATTAATGAGAAATTTACAGCCTTTGGTACAGAGAGCGCACTCGTATGATCTCCTTGAGTTTTAGATCCTCCGGTCTGGCGAATGCAAGCGCTTCGGACAGAAGTGAAGCGTTGCCGCGGCCGACCTTGCACTCCTGAAAGAGACGTCGCATGTCTTCCTCCGGAGGAATAACCTGACTACGGGAGGACGTTCTGGTTTTGTTGGGCATCACCTATAGCAAGTTCAGCCCACAGAGTAACAGCGATTCATACTTGGCCATACCGTTAGTGGAGGTCTGGATCCGGCCAGCGATGAAGGGTCTGGTGTTGTTTGGGACTTTTGCGAGGGATGTCTCGGAGTAGGTGGGCTGAACATCGCGTCACCAGTGTCAATAGGAACACCGTCATCGGGTTTGTCTGCGGGCTTGACCTTCTTCCAGAGTGATCGAAAGGCTGCCTCCTTACTGCCTATGCACCAGATGAATTAGCGGTCGTTGTAGAGTCGAGCAAAGCAATGCTCCCACCAGCTGAACTCGCATATGCCGCAGCAGCTAGAACCTCGAGCAAACGCTCACGAACCACAGGCGATGTGCGTGACGACGTGACGACATCTTCCAAAGTGTCGAGGAACTTGCGAGATGTACATTGATGAGTGAAGACAGCAGAGGAATTCCGTAGCATGATCGCCCAGAGCCGTGCGGCCGACAACTGGGCAGTCGGTTCGGCATATCTCCACGAATGCAGTCAGTGACAGGAGGATCGACAGCAAGCTGAGCCTCACTTGAACTCACGGCGGAGGGCTTTGGCCGCCTCTTTGGCGTTGGGTTCACTAGATGATGCCCTCTCGCACACCTCCAATACGAGCGACCAATCTTCCGAAGCTGTTGCTGTCAAGTAGCCTTGTGGAGATCAATGAATAGACAAAACACCGCTGTGAAGATACTAGCATACCGATCATGCGCGTGAGCTCAGCCGGTGCATCGTCATCTCTGCGGTCTCGCTCGCGTCCCCTCTCTCGATCCTTCTCTCTCTCTCGGTCCCTGTCCTTGTCTCGTTCACGGTCCTTATCTTTCCGTTCCCAGAACCCTTTCCGCTCTTTCCTATCCTCACGGGTCGATATTTCTGTCATGTTGTCCTCGGACAGTTCAGAGGTGTTGTGAACTTCGAGATGTGGATCCAGAGCCTTGAGGATGCCAACAGCGGCCAGCGCGCCGTGAGCATGACCATTCGGTGCTTTCTTGCGCAGTAGCGGCTGCTCTCGATCGCGGTCCTTCTGGCTTTGTTTTGCGTTGACCGCCGGAGATGGTGCTGCAGAAAGCGATGGAAGAGCGCGAGGGGTAGATATGTGGGAGGGAGCTATTGAGGAGGCCAATGGGGGAGAGTAGGACGCTGAGACGGTGGAGCGGACTGAGTAGGATTGTGCATCACTGTCGACGACATGCCAATGTTCCTCGGAAGGTTGTGGAGTACCCGACCGAGATCTCTCATGCCCTTGAGCCGCGCTCACAGATGAAATATAGCTCTGAGCACCACGAGTGAGCCTAGTACTGGCCAAAGCCAGTTCACCTACATCTGGTACGCCTGAGCCGATGTCGGAAGGAGCGAGCTTGGGTTTCGACTTATCGCGGCCGAATAGCTTCTTCATAGCAAAGAGAAGTAAAGTGATGTGGCCAGTGGGTCAACGTGTGCAGCAGAGCGTGACAAAGGCGATGTTCACAGTTCAGGCTGTGCCTCCCGTGCCCCGACCACGTCCACTGCGACCCGTCCCCAGCGCGCCCGTCCACGTGGCCCCGCCATCACGGGCGCTTAATCGTTCTTATTCTCCACAACAAACGCGACATGGTATCTGAGCTGCTGGCCTCTCACCACTACCACATCCATCTCGACTTTTCCCATACTCGGAAAATAGAGAAAACCGGTAGATGAGTAGAGTCAAAGAGACCCAAGAGGGGGTCGGCGGAGATCATAGGCACCAGCCCTATCCTACATGCACACACGAGGGTAATCCAAAAAACCAAGGCCACCAGGTTGAGGGAAAAACACGAGTGAGGCTGGAGACTCTGGCGCCAATACCAACAACCCCGAGTCAAGGACACGCAGTCCTCAAAAAACTCACGAGTTCAATCATTGGGTCCCCTAAGCTAATGACAAGTATGACAGGCATAGAGCAAACCTACGCAGGGAGCACTGAGGAAAAGGAGAAGGATGATGAGACAACAAGCATGAACTCTGGAGTCACCGACTCCGAGACCAACCAGGCCAAACACAGACCTGAGGATGGACGAGGATATCACTGACATCTTCAGCATCAGCAAATCAGTCACTTCGTCTAAGATCGCCTAATCGGTCTTATACAGACATTTAGACTGATCAGGACAAATAGACGACACAAGTTCAATTAGTAGATTCGTGTCTGATACAAGCCATTCTAGACTATCATGAGACATTCATTAGACATATGATACACTGACCTCTGTATGGCAATCAGACAATGTTCAGACAGATCAGACACCAGATACGAAACAAACAGTATATTCAAGCCACATCTCATGGCTAAGAAGACTAGTCCATAATATACTACGTGCACTGCAGTAGTACAAGAGGTGTGAGGTCGACAGAAAGCGAGATTAGCAGATATTAGAAGCAGCTTCAAAGAATGATTGACTGTAGAATAGTAAGGGAATTTGGCGCCGGGCGTACGAAGCAATGCCATGCCAGTGGTGCCGATGGTCTGCATTGATGCTACGAGCAGACACCACGAGGTCAAAACTTCGTGTTCTGTATGACAGAGGGTATCAGTGGATGGTGAGCCTTAGCATAGAAGAGCATACATCATCCTCAACAATGTTGGAATACGAGTCCGAATACAGGTCGTCATAGTTGTCGATCAATGCTTCGGCAGCCAAGAATTTGGTTGCCACGTCCTCGGTGGCAAGAGGTTCGCGTGCGTTTGACAGGATTTGGCTCCACTTCACGCCGGTAAGTGTCACAATGGCATTGCCGAAAAATGCGATGCTTGGACCAACTAGTGCAGAGCACGGGTACACCCGCGGGTGTCCCGAGGTGTACCCGTACCCGTACCCGCCCGGGTACAGACCGCGACGGCGGGTACGGGTTTTGCACGGGTGCAGGCGGGTCTGCGGGTCCACGGGCAAGTGGGCGGGTCTGCCCACCATCGCGGTCACCCGTGTTTGCTCACACGCCCACCTCCTGTTCGCCGGCCGTGCTTGCGCGCTGGGCATTCGCCCTGCGTGCTCGCGGTCACCGTGCATGTGGTGCTGGTCCACACTGCACCCGCCCGCTTCCCTCTCGCTTGTGTTCTCTCACCCGCTGTACCTCGTCCACTGGCCCTCTCGCTCGTGTTCCCTCTCACTCGCTGTCCCTCTCGCCCGCCTGTCCTCTCCCTTGCCCATCCACCAGCTTTCTCCCGCACCTGCTGGTCCGCTTACCTACCCGCTCACCTCCTTGCGCGCTCGCCGCCTGGCCTGCCTGTCCGCTTGCTTATCCGCCCATTCTGGACCACCTGCCTGCTCGTCCGCTCACCGGCTTGTCCGCCTGCCCTCCCCCGCTTGTCCGCCTGCCCTCCTGCTTGTCCATCCGCTCACCTGCTCACCCATCCGTCGGCTGTGTTTGCGTGCTGGGCACTCGCCCAGCGCGCTCGCGGTGGGCGTGTGCTGTCGCCTGCTTGCTTGCCCGTCAGCTCTCTCCTACCCGGTTATTTGCCCACCCGATCGCTCACCTGTCCGCCTATCTCCTCACCCATCGCCTGTGTTAGGATCGTGTGCTCGAGACGAAGTCCGAGGTCGGAGTTACGAAGTCCGGAGTTTCGGAGCGCAGTGGAGTGAGGACTTGGCGAAGCTATTAACAACGCCCCTGGGAGAACTCGACGAGGTCCTCTATTTGGACTTGGACGGAGGTGGACTATGACGGAGTCCGGAGATAGAGTCGGAGGAAGGAGGAGGAGAAGACGAGAGCGAGAGAGAGAAGAGAGAAGCTAGACAGAGGTCGGACGGAAGTCCGGAGTTCAGACAGGAGTTTGGAGGAAAGGAAATCGGATTGGTTAAACGAGGATAAACGAGATATTCGAACTGGAGTACAACAGTGCTACAGTTCGGTCTTTTATACTAAGAGTCCTAATTGTGAACGGAAGACAATAAGTCGGAGGAAATGGTACGGAGAACAATAACGGAGGTCCGGAGATATTAGTATCCGGAGCGAATACAATAAGCTAATTGTTCGTACGAGTCAGAGACCATGCGGTACACTAATTGTAGTGCGGGAGAAGATAAGATAGACGAAGACAATAAGAGCAGAAATCGGAGAACGGAGACGGAGGAACGGAATCGGAATTCGGGAATGACCTTGGTGGCACGGAACGTGACAGTGCCTCCCAACTGGATCGAACCCCTGAGATCCATAGGCGATGGCAAGTGGCCGAGATCTGAGATCTGACCGGATATAAGGCTGATAATTTTCGGAGTCCGCATCTTCACAACTTGACCTCCACTCCCCACCATCTCCTCGCCACTCCCGCTCTCCGTCGCTCTCACCATGTCCGACATTGCCGCCACCAACCCCGAGAACACCGTCGACGACGTCGAGGAGCTGGAGAAGAAGCTCGCGGCCGCAAAAGCCGCAAAAGAGGTGCGACTACGCGCGGAGGCGGAGGCGAAGGAGCGGGCGGAGGCGGAGGAGCGGGAGCGGAAGGAGGCGGAGGAGCGCGCTGCGCGCATCGAGGCGGAGCAGAGGGCGAGTGCAGTGGTGGAGGAAAAGGAGGCGGAGGAGAAGAGGGCGGAGGAGTTGAGGAAGGCGCGGGCGGGAAAGTGCAAGGCGACGGAAGAGCCGGAGGTGCCCGGTGTGACCCAGTGAGTACCCAAGTCCGTGGTCCGGTTTTCGGAATTGACGGAGTACAGCACGGAGTGCGACCGATGCCGGGCCAAGGGCCTGGAATGTGTCTTCAAGAATGTGGGACGCAAGAAGTCCTGCGTCGCATGCCAGCGCGACAAAGCGGCATGCAAGGGTTCGACGGAGAAGCCGGAGACGACCCGGAAGAGGACAAAGAAGGACAAGGGGGCAGAGTCGAAGAAAATGGGGAAGAAGTCGAGGTCGGAGGTCGCGGACTCCGACGTGGAGGTCGTCGAGGGTCCGGTGGCCGGGTCATCAAGGTCGGAGGCAAGGTCCGCCCAGAAGAAGGCCACGGCTCAGGAGTACGAGGTACTCCTGAGCGACGCCAGGCGCATCTGGCAGCGGGACTCCAGCACGGGGATGACGAGCGCGGAGCTCTTCGAGGCCCTCCTGGTGGAGGTCCAACGGCTCCGACACGAAGTCCGGGAGGCCCGCATGGAGTGGAAGCGCGAGGGTAACCGCCGGGAGCGGATCGTGGCGGCGTACTTCGCCAACATGGTCAAGCGCCTGGAGAAGATCGCGAAGCTGGAGAAGTTGGCGGAGATGCGGGAGGAGGAGGAAGAAGAGGAGATGACGGACTCCAACGAGGACTACGACCCGGAGGCGGAGGAGGAGACGGATGGTGAAGCGGAGTAGTGTACGGGCTCCGGGCCCTTTAATATAATATAATTTCTGTTGTCTCCTGTAAGCGTGAACGGCGTGACTTATGATAGCGAAGCCAAAGGTCCGGGCTTGTTCGGATAAGCAGCATGGAAGTCGGAGACGAGCTCCGCAGCGTGTTCGAGTTCCGTAGCGAGAATCCAGGAAGTCTCTTCGTCAGTTCCTTCATAACCAGCCCAGCGTACGAAATATAATAGCTGGCAAGCACGACGACGACGGTCAATTTTGGAGTCGAGGATTTTGGAGATCTCGAACTCCGGTTCTCCGTCGATAAGAACTGGCGGAGGTGGAGACTGGACTCGTCCGGGAATGGTGTTCGGAGTTGCAGGCTCGAGCTGGGAGACGTGGAATACTGGGTGAACAGCGCGCATAGTGTCCGGAAGTCGGAGGGTGAACGAATGGGAACCTGCTTGGGCAATGATGGTATAAGGGCCCAGGTTCTTTTCAGAGAACTTCTTAGCGGGACACATAGAACGGAAATGCTCGGCTTTGACATATACCGTATCTCCGACCTTGAAGTCCGGAGCCGGAAGTCGGTGTTTGTCCACTTGGACTTGATACTGAGCTTGGGCCTGAGCAATGTGCGTCCGGAGTAAGGCGTGGAGTTCGTCGAGGTTGACAGCGAACTCGCGTGCGCGCGCGGAAGTGAGGGCGCGTTCGGGATGAACAGCGAGGGCCGGATTGTAACCCTTGTTGGCGAAGAAGGGCGAAATTCCGGTGGTCGCATTCGGAGCATTGTTGTAAGCAAACTCCGCAAGGGGCAGGAGACGCGACCAGTTGTCCTGCTGGTAGTTGCAGTAGACCCAGATGTACTGTTCCAGGGTCTGGTTGACTCGTTCGGTTTGGCCATCGCCTTCCGGATGATAACCGGAGGTGAAGTGAAGGCGCATGTCGAGGGCTTTACCGAGTGAGCGGAAGAAATGGGACACGAACTCCGAGCCCCGATCGGAGGTAACGTGCGAGGGAACTCCGTGCTTGGAGAATACATGGAGGATGAAGAGGTCCGCGAGTTCCGGAGCGGTAAGGGTGTCGTGCGTAGGTATGAAAATGGACTGCTTGGTGAGGCGGTCGACTACGATGAGGATGGCGGTGAAACCATCGGAGTCCGGAAGCTGCTCGATGAGATCCATGGAGATGGAGTTCCAGGGTCGCTTGGGGATTGGGAGTTGTTTGAGCGTGCCATAAGGAAGATGACGGGGGACTTTGGCTCGTGCACAGATGGTACAGGACTTGCAGTAGTCTCGGACGAAGAGACGGAGTCCGGGCCAGGAGTAGTCCCGGAGTATGAGGGCTTGCGTCTTGTTCTGACCGTAGTGTCCAGCGGTCGGATGGTCGTGACGGGATCGGAGTACCCGGAGACGGAAATCGTCCACGTCCGGTACGTAGATGTGACCACTAAGACGCAGGAAGCCTTCTTCGTCAATGGACCAGCGTGCGTTGTCGCCCTGAGAGGCCAGAGCGAGTCCGGCAGCAAGCTCAGAGTCAGGGAAGGAGGCGGACTGAGCAGTCCGGATGTCGGAACGGAGTAGATGTTCGTCGTGGATGAGGGATGCACGGAGGACTGGTTCTCAGAGAATGGTTGCCCGGAGAGAGGAAGCGAGCTGTTCCTGCGTGAAAACAGGTCGGAAGTTGTGTGGGTTGACGACGGAGTAGTCACTATCCCCCTCTTTTGGGTAGACATCCCAACGGCGCGTGAGTGCGTCGGGTTTGCTTCCGAGTTTTCCGGGGCGGAATCGGATGATCATATTGAACTGCGAGAGGAACTCCGACCAACGCGCTTGACGTCGCGTCAGGAGTTTTGTGGTAGCGAAGTATTCGAGGTTCTTGTTGTTGAGCAGACTTGGTCACATGTAGTGGACCGCGCTCTAACTTACCTGCTTGAAGGTGTTGCTGTTAAGCTTGAGGCACACAAGTAGTTCCGGTGTTGGAAGTACTGGAGAGAGAGCTACGCTACTGGTGGGTCTTATATACATCTGAGAGATGCTGACTAATACTACTGTATAGTCCATTCCCACGCATGACTTGCTCTATGCGGTAAGTGCGGATCTAGCACGTGCAGTGCGATCCGGCCCGTGGAACCCGGCGGCCCGGTGGGCGCCTATATGGTTCAACACTCCCCCTTGCTAAGTACGTCCCTGACATACGAAGCATATCCTGGCGCCATGGGCTGCCGTCCGTGGTTGCTCTAGGACTCTTCTTCGTAGAATCGAAGTCCGAGCATGCCTCTGAACTTTTGGAACTTGACACGGCCCAAGTTTTTGGTGAAGAGGTCTGCCGGATTATCGTCAGTGCCAATGAAGAAGACTTCGACCTGTCGTTCTTCAATTAGCTCCCTGATATAATGATAGCGTATGTCGATGTGTTTCGACCGCCTCTCAGTTACAGGGTTGGAGCCGATGAATATCGCTCCTTGATTATCCGAGCAGATAGGTAGTGGGCCAAGTGGATATCCAATCTCCGTGAGGAGCATTTTAATCCATACGACTTGGCGGCTGCAGTCGCTGAGCGACATGTATTCAGCCTCAGTTGAAGACAGTGCTACCGTCTTTTGCCGTCAAGACAGCCAACTGAACACTCCACCAGCTAACTTCATAAAGTAGCCACTCTGAGA